TAGTATTTGGTGGCTTGAACGCAGATGATGTTTTATACCTAGGATTTTTCTTTTGTCAAAGTATCCAGGTTGTTCGTTTACATTTTTTATTCTAAGAGCTGTAAAACCAACATGGGACAGAATGCAAAAAACGTAGCAAACGGGCTGAAAAACAGTCCCAATATACAATTTTTTTCCTTGGTTTTAAAAACTGGTGTGTAACTGCTGATGAAGTACATGCTTGCTGTCAAGAGTGGTCTATGGAGATCAATCCTATGCTGATTTCACAGTAAATCCTTTGACGTGTTCTGTCCTGCTTGCTATGTAAAATGTCTGTGGCATGCATTGAGGTTGCATTTTTTCTCATTCCCTTGAAGGTAGTGCTCTTGTGGAGCTGGAATAAGTAAACAACATATAGGACGGTCACCTGGAGGTTTAAACAAAAGCCACCATCAGATCAGAAAGAAGGGAACGGCATAAACTTGCTATCTAGAGACCATTAAAATTCCATTTATTATTATTAGCCTATTAGTTGTATTATCTTTTCCCAATTAATAAAATAAATAAAAAGGGGTCATCTTTCCTGAGTGTTCTGCTACATAGCTCTGAAGGACTCGAGGGAAATCTACTCAGCAGACCAGCAGCACAGAAACCTCGGTGGGTTGACTGGTCAACATTAAGTGACAGAAACGTACTCGGGATCCGCCAGGGAGGTGAGAGCCCCGTTCAGCATCATGCTCAGCACGAGCTTGGTAAGCAGCCAACTCGTGTTCTCATTTAGAGCAGAATGGGACACAACTTCTAGCAATGCATTGTCATGAAAATTCAACATAATGTAGCTATGTTGAAAACTAGTCTCAAAAGCAATTATTATCTATTATATTTCTGCTGCACTTTATTTGTTTTGGCACATTATATTCCTCTGGAGTGGAAGACAGTTTATATTCTACTAGGTTTCAGTTCAGTTCTCGGAAGTTATTGAGATCTACACTGACAAAGCTGTATCTTACTGCAGGAGTTTGCAAAGGTTCACACTCATATGGGTGACGCCGGTTTTATGCATGACTCATGTCTCACTTTACTACTTAGCAAACAGCTTCTAAGCTCTTGTCATCTGTTGTTTTAGATATTAAACAGAGGGTATGCAAACTAATCCAATTGCTCGTGTGACTTCGGTCTGAATGGGATTTTGCACAGCGATCCTGCCCGAGAGTCCCCAGACTGCAAGTGCAGTACACACCCGTACGTGGTGGATGGTAAATACTAACCCATCTGGCATATGTGTATCGGAAAATGACATTGCCTAATCCCCACCCCCTACTCACAGAGACAGAAATACCCCCGTTTCTCCACTGCCCACGTGGGATGTGTCCACAGCTGCTGTAAGCTAAAGCAAAGATGAACAAGTTCACTTCCTCATTAGGCAGGAATACACCCCACAACCACTAGTCGTGCTCCCCACTCAGTTTGGCACTGAGTCAACAGAGAACAGATTAGTCCTGAAATTCCTTCGGTGCTTATGTTGCCTCATGGGACCTTCAGGTTTGGGCCAAGAGCACCTGATAAATGGGAGCTGCTGTGCTATTTATCCTCTTCACGTAGGGTGATGGGTCACTACTGGAGGAGGTTGCTTGCTGCAAGGAAGCAAAGTGTTGGCAGGCAGTGGCTACAGAGATGAGGGTGCATACATATTCTTCCACCCCTCTCCTTCCTCAAGCCGTATTACCTTTCATTAAAACCTTCCCCCTGCATGGAAATAGCACAGTTCTCCCTTGGAGTAGAAAGAATTTAATAGATCTAATTTGGCAACATGGGGTCTTGGCACAAGCGGTCCTGTTGTCTTGTGGAGCTTGAGGCATTCATTCTTAGGGTCTTGCATTGTGTGGTCTGTCAAGAAGGGCAAATTCTAGCCCTTCTATCGAATGATTTCCAGGAGAACTTGTAGAAACAACTTGCTGAATTTTCCTCCCTCTTAAATATCTTCAAACTAACAAGGTCACAGTTCCTTAAGATTGCTGAGAAAACTATAATTTTTATGGAGCTCCAGTTATTTGGAAAAGGGCTAAGCAAATGGATCAGCTCCAGTATTTTGCATCTAGCTGTACCCTCACCAGGACATAGGCTTGCTTCCACTTGGCTTCTTACAGTCTTGGCTTTTGAACTTCCTTCTTCGTGTTGTGGCTGATTATGCCACTGCATGTTCTGCAAGAATTACAGTGTTACCACTTTGAGGCAAGAGGTGGTAGAGCTTTCACAACACTCAGCATTTTGATTCATGTTGCTCCATCCAACACTTCTGCAGTCTTCAGACCTACAACTCCACTCTTTTGGGTTAATGATCTGGGAAATTTTTAATTTCTTAATGCTAAAGAATTTGCAAAAGGATATAGGCAGTGGCCCATTTCACCCAAATCTAATTCTGAAGCCTGTGTAGAATTGCTCTGCATGAAGGATTTCAAGCTCCTTCATACTACAGTCCGTTGTTTCATTTTTCCCCTCCACCCCTTCATAGATAATGGAAGGATGAATAAAGAAAATGTTACAAGTGTAGAGATTCTGGATGACTGTGTTCTTTTGCTCTGCTGACCTTGTTCATCTGTTGGGTTTTTTTGTTTTACTTATGCAGATAGGTCTTTAAGACACAGTCTGTATTCTGTTATGTGTGCCATACACCCTAATTCCTGACAAGGCCTCAATGTGACCTTGCAATACAAATAGACGGGCAGTTCTGGGCAAGATGCCCTAGCCTGATTTGTTTCCTTCAGAGACCAGACAGTCCTATAGCTGAAAAGGCACTGTTCAAATCTTTAATACATATTACCAACTTTTCACAGTATCATTTCCAAATAAATGACCCTACAGTTAGATACCTCTGGCCACATTTAGATGCTTGTCTATCTGTCAGCACGTCTGCACACCTAAATTTTTCAGCATTGTTAGACCAGTTGATTAGACTCCTGATCAAGCATCTCCTCCTAAAAAATATTTCAATATGGTTGGAGTAATGGAAATGGTCCACATATGTGACCTTAACTCATGGTAAATGCGAGCTAACACAGCTTAGTCCACTGTGGAAGGGGACAACGTTGCCATGCATGTGCTGCAGGTGGTGGCCACACACATGGACAAGTACTGCCATGTTGCCAACACGCAGTCACTGGTTATGAAGTAGCTACTTGGTCGTGAGAATGAGCCATAAGAACACTGAGTTCTGTAAAACACTGTAAGATATATAACTGCTTTGAAGTTTGGGGCCTTGAATTTAAGTCAGGGCCTGGGAGCTTCCTGGAAAGAGTGCAGAGACTTAAGCATTGGCCTGATCCGCTCATGCTGACATTAGCTCTGGAGAAGACTAAGCCTTGCAAGACCACTAATTTCAAAAGGCTTATGACAATATGCACCCTATTAAACATGGGCGCACATGTGCTAAGTGCACACAACATTGACTGGCTATTCCTTTCAGCGCACTCTCCATTGCAGAAAACCAGGAAATTTTTAGAAACAGAATTCCTATCTTCTTTTAAGCAGTTTCTTCCTCACCCCATCATGGCCACTCATTGTGATAAGATTTTCCGTTCTTCTTCCTTTCCTTCCGCTCTTTCTGCAGACGTTCTAGTTCAGCTTCATACATCATTTCCTGAATCAGGTACTTTTCTCTCCTCATTCGATCTCTCAGATCTTTTGGGAGATCTGGGATTAAGTAGGAAATCAGGTGCTTTATGCAAAAGACAAGGTGCTGTGAAAACAAAAAAGGGATGAAAAATGAAAATCCTAGGAAGAAAACAAGTACTTTCCATATCTTCTGAAAACCCTCTCCTTCCAATTCACAAAAAGATCCTCTGTTAGAACTAAATCCATTACTAAATTTGAAGAAACCAAACCATGAAGTTTTTTCCCCACAAAAACTCCAGCCAAAGTCAGTGGAGTATGGATCGCAGCAAAGGTTATGAGCAGCTGGGTTCAAATAAGGCCTCAAAACTGTTATATGACCTGTGTGTTCAAACCCTTGAGGTCATGATTGCTGTAAGGTTGTTTGGGCAGGGCCTGGTATTAGTGGATTGCTCTGCAAGAAGAGGAGGATCAAATGATGTAATACTTTCCTGTTGCCAGAAAACCCTTGCATCAGTATCAGAACCAATGAATTACCTATGCAAAACAAAACATTTTTTCTTATACTGTGTCTCTCATCCAAAGAAATATTCCCATTTACTAAACATCACAATTAAATACAAGGTAACTGATCCTTTCTCCCTCATGTTTTAGGCGTGCCACAGCAAAGCTTGAGTGTGGTGGGGAAGGATTGCTTGAGTGTCCTTTTTTGTTTGATCAATGACGCTGCTTGGAGATTTACTCACTCCATTGAGAGGAGGAGCAGAGAAACAGAAAAATCCTCCATCTCAGAAAGGACACTCATTCTAGATTGGAGAAATAAAGGTATTTCTTCTTCTCCAAGCAGAACCCTTCCTTTGAAAGCCACTGAAAAGAGAGTGTAACATGTTTTCCAACGTGTTCTTCCCTCATGAGAAATAAACCCGCAATACTTTAATTGCTGTTTTTTTGCCGAACCTAAAAAAAGACAAAAAGCTGCTTCTGTCAGTTTAGTGTGGACAAATAATTCCTTTTGCAGTGATAGGAAATCATTTTTTTTGGTTTTGAGGGAGGTCAAGATAGCCAAAATAACCAAACGCACAGTGCCAAAAAGGTGTCTGAGCTTAAGTAGTCACTTAATTTATGAAAAAACCTACCTTGAATCACTTATCTCTTAGCGCAATCTTTTACTGTAATTGCTGTAGCAATCACAATACACCCATTAGTGTTTTCCACAGAGAAAGACAGTCATGGTTTCTGCTGCAATTACCTTTTTGATTTCATAGATACAGTTAGGGAAACAGTTTGCAGTGCCAATAAACAGAGTGGCCCCTGCTGAGGGAGACAGCTGTGAGCCAGCCCATGGCTTTGGTTGGGACAAAGCAAAGTCAAATCTCTCATGCAAGTATTGGGCAGACACAAAAAGTTATTCCACAGCAGGTCGCAAATTTGGCTGGGCACTGAGACTTGAGCAGGGCTGATTTTTCTTGCCTCGGTTATCTCTGCCCTTATGCCATGCTGCCTTTATGCCAAGCATGTATTAAGAAGCCAGGCTCTCTTCAATCTTAAAACTGCTTAGGCTAGCCTGCCAAGGCCATCCATTCTTGTAGTCCTTTCTGGAGACAGATACCCTGGCTCTCAGTACCAACAGCTCAAGAAGCAAAGAAGAGATCGAGCCCAGCAGGCCTCTATCAAATCTTTCTTTCTTTCTTTCCCTTAATGCTTCCCTGACTGTGGCAGAGATGATGGAAGAGCCGATCTTCTTAGGACCAACCTCTAATGAGTTAGCCCAGTGTAGAGGAAGCGGAGAGCCCAACCTGCAGTGCCATATTCCCCCTTCTTCTGGGAAGGGCTGAAAATGACTTTCAGAGGGAATTCACTGTAGACCTTGGGCTTCTGCTGAGCCACCGAGACATCCCTACGCAAGAAATAATCTAGAAAATCTTTCCCCTTCACCTTTCCTCTAATTCAAATGCTCCTGTTCTGTGATCCAAAGATGTACTTCGAAAGCTCACAGTTCAGAATGAATTTACACAGTAATGTGAGTCAGAAATGCAGTATGTGCTCACGAACATTATGCCAATAAATTAGGGTGATTATAGCTTCCATATCCATGTTGGATGCCCTGTTGCTATGATTTCAGAGCAGAGGATTGAGTAAAGAGTTTTTAAAAATCGTTTGTTCCCTGTTTGGCTTCTTCACAGTGTAAAAGGCATTTCAAACTGCTTGTGCTGGAGAGATGCTGAGCCCCTGGTTTCTGGCAGGGATATTCAGGCACCTGAAATTCAGGCCTTAAGAGCTGCATTTTGTTTTGTAAATGATCTCATCCTATTTATCTACCCTCCTGTCTCTCTTTTTCAAAATCAGCATGGGAATACCAGTCATGTGAAGTTGGTATTATCTTCTCTGGTTTGTCTTAAAGATTTCTGAGATACTGACAGTAAGTACTAATATTATGAACATCGGCAAAGGTATTGAATCCTTTTCATTGTCATCATCTTTGTGATGCTAATCATTCTGGCAAAATGAATGGTATTAAAAAAATAGAGAAAAAAGCTAGATGTGTAAATACTGTAACTTAAACTATCTTCATCTTTCAGTTGTTCAGATTTCATCTTTTCTTCTCAAGTTCCTTCACTCCCCTTCCTCACACACTAGTCAGTATATGGCTTCCCAGCCTAGACAGGTTATGAATGCCAGACCTCAGAAAGTAAATAAAAGCTTCATTTATTTCCCTTCTTTGCAACTCACTGTTATAGTTTTCAAAGTCCTGCATTCCCCTTTTTGTTAAAACCTAAATACCTGTGACTGTTCAGAAAACAGATCTGAGAATACAAAGCACAATATAAACAGCAGAAACTAACACAGAAAGCTCAACAGCTGCCATCATAGGTTAGCCCAAAGAAAAAGCTTCAAAGGGAAATTTGTTTCATTTTGTTGTTTTTGTTTTGTCACCTGAATGGTCACTGACCTCAAATACAATAATGAAAGCCAACCGTGCTGCTAAGACATGCCAGAACTGCAGCGTGTAACCGTAGGGCACTGGGGAGTGAGGAGGGTCTCGGTAGTCCCTGTACCTGAAAGACAAGCAGAGTACGGTAGTTAGCAAGCTCCTGCCCTGCTTCCCGGGAGGAAGGCAAAACCAAAACCCAGCTGCTCTTGATCATAGCATTTTCTGCACCAAAATGATGTCAGTTCAGACTGTACAAGTTACCACAACACTGCTTGCTTCTTAGGCTGGGCCTACACTAGTGTTTTATTTCAGATCAGGTGCATGCTTTTGAAGCAAGTGTCCCGATCACCTCTACTGCCACGCTTTGGTTCACCCAAATGGGTTTACGTTCAGATGAAACCTAACAGTAAGATGCACTCTGGGAGTGCACTTCGCACTCCAGCTGCTAATGGAAATTCAGTGCAAAGGACCAGGCCAGTGCCTGTATGAAGCAAAACTGCTAAAGCAAATACAGAGAATGTTGGGTGCTCAGCACCAGCAGTTTGACCCTACAGCATCTTCCTCGGCAGCTCAATGTGTGCCTTGCAGGCACCTCCTCAGAACATGGAGCAGGGTGGGATGCTCTGCTGTTTTGAGGGCCACTTTCTTCCCACTACAAGTTAATTTTAAAACCATAAATGTCCCCAATTTTGTCAGCCTGACAGCCCTCCCAAAATCCATATAAAACTGCCTCATGGGCTCCATCTGGCCCTTGGTCAATTAGTTGGCCATCCCTGGTGTAAAGCATGACTCATCCTGACTTTAGTGTTGCCAGAACTGCACCTCTTGGCATACCAACAGGGCAAGGGCTGTGTAAGAAAGGGATCTAGTGTCTTGTCTCACAGAATGTTTCTTTAAAGACTTTAGGTCTCAATAACGTAACTAGAGAAATCTATTGGGAAAGCTGGATCCAGGAAGACTCCAAAATTACATTAGCAAATCATTAATCTGTTTAAGTCACACATTCTGGAGTCCACTTCTACTAGCAGTATGTTAATTCCAAAATACTATTACAGAAACTTAATTTAAAAGTAGTGTAAAAATTGTTTTCTCCTTAATCTGTTTCCTAGATGGGACAGAAAACCCATTATAAAAAATATTGAAAATACCATGGTAAATAATACACTTAAGCTTGACCTCTAAGTTAGTTTTTTAGTTTTAAGAAACTAAAAACTCAGATGAGCAAAAGAAATAAAGTTATTTCATCTCTATGATAATCTGTATTTTTCCCTGAAGGTTCACCTTCTTAAATTGCAGAGGGTGCTACACAAAATGAAATAAACTGTGTCTTGACATCTTAGTCAGCAACAAACCTCTCTTAAACTGCAGTATCTCTAAGTGCAAGTTCTTAAAACTGAGATGCTCTTCCCTTCTGCAAGCAGCATTCTGACTTCATAGTTTAGGATGTTTTACAATATCCTAAGCATCCTGAAAACAGAAGTCCCTGGACCAAGTCCCAAGTCAGTAGAGTATGTCTCCTTTTTGTACTTGCTAGGAACCAAGCACCACACATGAAGAAATGGGGAAACCTTTTATAAACAACCAGAATAGCGTGGCACCATCTGGGTTCCAGACGAGCAGAAGTGAACTGAATATGGCCACTGGTTTTTGTTCAGACAGACTGCCTTCCTATAAAAATGCCTACGCTATTGCACAGTAGAACACAGTATTTCCTTACCTCACTATCAATATCTGGCTTGAAGTGCAATTAAAATGACTGATGTTTTAGCAGAATTCAGGTGGGTTAAGTATCTGATAAACTCAGCTAAAGAAAGACGTTCATTTTCTTTCAAGGGTAGATATACATAACAATTCAGTGTCCCCCAAAAGAACACATTTATCTTCTGGAGATTTATCACACCAATTTTAATAGTGTTCTGTTTATGGGATATTGAGGGGACACTTTTTTTATTGATGGGATTTCCATCATCGGCTTTAAGTAGCAGCAACCTCATGCTTGAAGTTGGGGAAGAAAGGAATTAAAGAGGGGGAGGAGAATGATCAGAGTTACAAAACATTACTGAACGGCGCTATGGCAAGCAATGTGGAATGGAGTATTCTCAAAGTGGTTCTGCTCCACAGAAAATGTTATCTACGGATTCAACATTGGGATGTTCTTTCTGCCAAATAAATTGCAACAGTCTTAAATATCAGTTAGTTAAACGAAAGCATTAATGCCACTCCCCCAGTTCATTATGCTATACCACTCAAACTTATTAATAAAATTGCCACAATATCATGAAGTATCACTGACTTTTGCTGTATCACAGAGTATCTTTTGTTCTTTAGGCACTCATGAAAGGATATTTTAATTCTTCACAGTGAAAAATACTGGGACTAAGTGTATCTGCAGCTACCAGGACTCATGCTTGTAAACCAATGTTGCAATAAAAAAATAGTAGCTGTATTTGTTGTTTGGTATTTTTGGTTGGGACCCCATTTAAGACCTTTATGCAGATCCTTGATTCTTTGGATTGATTAAAATCAATCAGGTGCAAATCTGTCATTACAGATTAGTCTCACACTGCTATTTCTCCAATCTGTTGGCTGAGGACAAAGACATACAGATAATTAATTGCTCATTTTATTTTGATTCAAACCACTAGTATATGATTATTACTAATAATTACACCTGTAAGCAATGACATAAACATATTAACCATTCAAGAATTAGGAAGTGCTGGATCTGAGGTTTCGTAAAGGTAGCTTAGGACAGACCCTGTTTATGCCTGGCAGACCTGTGAAATAACTCAGTGTGGTCACTTCTGTGCAACCTTGACTTCCTTGTGCATGTGCTATGACATAATCTGATTACAGTTTCATCTCACTGGTATCTAAGTAATCAGTCACCTATTATTGGCCCTTTGATACCATACTTCTTCATGATGGTTGTGTTTGATTCAAGCCATGACACCATAGAAATCCTGCATTAGGAACACCTGCCAGATACCCACTTTTTGACTTCTCCTGTATCTAAGGAAGGAATCATGCAGGTAACAGCCAAGCAGTACCATGAGCATGTCCCTGAATAGCACAGTTAATTATTTCCATTACTGTTTTTTAAATTCTGAAAATTAGTTCCAACCCCAAATTTATCATGATGCTTCTCCCTTGCAATGTCTTAAAGCAGAGAGGTATTTTGATCAGATACTTACCTGCAATATTTTAATGGTGAACCAGAGAATTCACTTCCATTTGACGTTGGCTCTGAACGGTTTTCAAAGTCAGACACCAGAAATACTGATAAACTGGCATTAACATAGCCAACCATACACCTAGAGGGGAAAAAATCCTGTAGTCAGGACACAGCAAGGTTTTTCCATTAACTGTTGTACCCCAGAGGATGTTCTCTGGGTTTCATGAAATCCACAGTATAACTGCGATGCTTATTAATATTTGAAAGGGACGTTGAGGCAATATAAAAGAAATGCTCAAGTAGGTCAGACGGACAATAAAAGTGAAGCAATGGTAGATTTCTATGGGAGGAGAAATGGTGAAGACTGGGACTGGTTACTTTTGAAAAGAAAAGTCACCTAAAAGGTGACACAATAGAGGTAGAGAAAATAATGAGTAGCACTAGGAAGATAATCAGAATACTCCCACTGTTACCCGCATGGTACTAGCACAAAGGGACATTAAATCAGACAGAAAGGCAATACACTTAAAACAGTTTTTTACAAAATGTCCAGTTAATCGGAGGAACTCCATACTGAAAGATCCCAGGGTGGCTGAGCACTGGGAGGGTCAGGCAGAGTTTGGAGAACACTGAGGAGGAGAATGTACGTCACCTGACGAAGGGCTGTGGGAATCACTAGAAGGCTCAAGTTTGGTGTTAATAAAGGTGAGGAGAGATACGGCAAGTGTATTGTGCTGTTCACTCTGCACTGCCCAAGCACAGGTAAGTCTAGGCACACTGCTGAGCTTGGTGCAGAGTATAATGCACAGTAAGGGTGGTTTTGTTTTTTTTAAACTATGGATTTTACAGTCTTTGAGAAATTACATTTAAACACCATCTGGCTTCATCTCAAAATCTCCATACTGGTTGGATTTGTAACTTAATTTAACTATGATATTTTTCTAGTATCACTGGGTGTCATATGGATCTAATACCTACAGATGTTTTTTGAAAGAAAAAAGCACCTCTCATTTAAGTTATTCAATAGCAGATGTTCTTGACTCCTTAATTTGAGAAAATTCAATATTCCTCTGGATTTTTGAATAGCTTCCTGCTTTTGTAACAGTACTTATTAATAAAAAATATCCAGAATGCTGACATATAGTCAATAAAACAACGGTTTTTATCCAAGTTGGCTCCTTCAAAGGATTACTATCTGATGGTTTCATCTAGAAATTCACTCAGAAAAGCAGCAGAAGTGCGAAAACACTGTAAAAGAGGTTTGTGAAAAGATAAGAGCTTCCTCTGTAAGCCAAGCTACTTCCCCTGTGCAGAACTAGTTTCAAAGCCAGTGAGTCATATTTGAGTCTTCGTAAAAATAAAATTTCTAAAGGTGGTGTTTTTTCATGCATAGTGGTCCTGAGAAGCAAGGAAAGTTGCTGACAGTGCCTCAATGTCCTATGGATCTTCATAATGGCACAAGCAGAGGCACATGCTCAGGAACAACTGGCACCAGACCAAACACTTTACTTGTGAAGGGACTTTAACTCTTCATGAAAATAAATGGAACATTTCCCCTGGCACCAACTAAAATGCCAAACTCCTTGCAGGACAGCAAGTTAGCAGCACTGCTAATCAGGAGCTGCCACACCAGCTGCTCTTCCATCAGTATGATTAAACAGTATTGACAACCAAAAGACAGCAAAAAAGCAGCAACAGAAGAACTCGCTTTCTGTAGCAGGGAATAAAAATCAATCTGCCATATGTCTAATAGCGGAATGTAAGCGCTCTGTCACTGTCTACTGTTTAGCTTCGGTTTCTTTGAACAGTAGGGTCCTTGCTAATGGAGCTGCTAGGAGATCATTTGCAAACTGTGTCTATTACAGTTCAGCTGGATTCAATGACCTTCCCTGAGTCCAACAGCCTAGATTTTACAAGTTGCCATGTAGCAGCTGTAATCATACTTGCTGGTAGTATGCACACGCTAATATAATCTCAGTGTTTAGCAACACTGAAAGAAAATCCACTTAGGCAGCAGGGATTCAGTTCACAAATGACTCCTGAAGGATTTAATCTAAGGACTCTAGCTTTAGAAGAAAAACAAATTACTTTGCCCCGTAAGTATATCTTGATTTATTAGTTGCAAATTGCTTCCTCTTGTTAGACACTACTTTTTTCGAGCAATACATGCTGAATACTACATCAGGAAAAAAAGCCTAGTGAGTAAGTTTAAAATGCTTATTAAATCCGTAACTGATAAATATCAGCATTGCTTCAGAATGAAAAGAGGGTTATATCCATGTACACCAGCTGGGAAGTGCAACTTGTGCAGCATATTGTTACACACACACCAAATCTCTGTAACAGCTCTGCCACGTTCTCCTTGAATTAACATCATAGACACTCGGCAACCCATTCTGTGAATATGTAAAGCATCAATATCTATGGCTGGTATCTGTTACCTAAGCACAAACAATAAATTTGGGTTAGTGGAATCAGAACACACACAGACAGTACTGCTGTATCTATTCGAGTAGTAAGTGATTTTCATGCGCATCTGTTTTCCTAAAGAAAAGCTTACTTTTGTCCAGCTTCTCCTTGGCCAGCACAAGGTCCATATTTGTAAGCATAAACAAGGCGAGGGATGAAATCTGATGTCACAGCTATAACAAATGCATTTGTGATAACAGAAAGAATTCCAATGCCTTCCAGGATCCCATACCAGATGCCTGTTCAACACGGAGAGTATGTTAGCTCCAGGAAAAACAAGAATCAAAGTGCCTGAGATACAGCATGCTCTGAAGCAGTTGTCCCCACCACCCAAGGTCTTTTTATGTAGTTTCTATCTGAGAGTCACTGAGTAAAAATAATATTTCTTATTAAACAGCACGACCTCAGTGGACCACATTTCTGTTCCTACTGGGTGGGAATTTTGTTTATCCTGCAAATAATCTCAAGGAAGCTGCAAAAAAGCTCATGGAGGCCTTGGTTCCACCAAGCCACATAACCACGTGGGCAGTTTTAAGAAATGCTGTAAGCCTCCCTGCTTGTGATGATGGCTATCCAGCCTTTGAGGAGGGTCTGCCAGGGCAGCCATGAATATATGCAATCCATGATCTGCCTGTCACAGGGGCCTTGTGTGTGCACATCTGGTCAGCATGTACCTATCAGCATCAAAATCTTTATGGCATGCTAATGCTATACAATGGCACACAGCCCTTAAGCATCACCTGGGCTTTTTGGCCTATCCTCAACCATCTGACAGATCTTGTGGTACAGGCACACAGCAACTCTGGTCATGAAGACCATCACTGAGAACCACACCAAAGGAAGGTTAGACATACCCGTTGATTTTAATGAGGCATCAAGCTGTCCTTGAAAACTTTACTGAATAGGGAGTGAATGCAACTTATTTTGAGAAATCACACCTGAATTGGCCTGAAAAAAAAATCTGGTTTTCTGTGCTTTTATTATTTACGTTATATAACTGTTTTTTCAGGAATTATGTCCGCAGTGTATGCTGTGTACTGATTGATGTCCAGGCTTGTACCTAAACTCATAGATCCACACTGTTCACATACAAAGCTTTACTCAGACACAGACTTTAGGTACGTGGTAGACCATTCTGAGAACACAAAGCCTGGGCTTCTGCTATTTTATGGTGTGGGCTACTGGTTTTTGCAATGCAGATGGGCAGTGAGGTATCCTGTTTACCCCTCCAAAGACACCAGGGATTCAGCATTGGGCAGATGTCTTTGTTTTACAAAGTCCTTCCTAAAGGTGTTCTGCTTTTGCACACTGCAAGGACAGAAGAGATTTATAGTCAAAATATGTTCAGAGAGCCCTTGCAGTAGTGTGTGGCTGGGTGACCTCAAAGTTACGTGAACCGTGTGTTTAGCAATGTAGGTGTGCCTCACTGAGAGCAAGTCGTCTCTTGTGACCTAGACCCACCCTGTCTGACCCACCAGGGACCTAATGGACATAGCCCCTGAGTCACAGGGGAGCTTGGTTTTGGCCGAGTAAATATAAAACACACAGGTCCCTTACAGGATGGTGGCCTCTTTAACTTGACTTTCATGTTTCAGCTGCTCTGTCTGGTTATTATATTCAAACTGAGCAGCGACGTGTTCACACAGTGTGTCTGCCACCAGGAAAAACCTGCAGAGAACACTGATCACTTCATTAAAACATCTTGGCTTTTAAGTCACCCAGAAGATCATTAAAAGACATTTTCCAATATAGACTATTAATTGCATAAGTAGATTGGCATCAGATACTTAAGTTTTTTGGAACAATCAAATTGTGTGTTGTTAATGGGGAAAATGACTGAAAATACCTTAATCTGCTCTTACTTGAAGTGGTCAATGCTTTGCCTTAAAAATAACACACACGCATAACAAACGCACATACAAAGAGCTCACCTATATCTTTGGCTCTTGAAGCTAAAGGTCTTCTCCACTGGGTAACAAATTTGTATGCATCAAGCCGAATTTCAATAATATTGTTAAGTAAGGCCAGAAGCGGTGCCAGTGGAAAAGCTGCCACAAAAATGGTTGTGAACCCAAACTGAAGAACTAGGAATAAAAAGGAAAGATCACAGTATAACTGTTAAGATCTAGTCCCAAGGTCTAAGATACCAAATAATACATGCATAGAAAATTATGTATAATTATACAAACATTTCTTATTATGCCGTACTATACAATAGTCTAGTGACACTTGTACACCAATTCCTTGCCAAAAGTTCAGAGCAAGGATGACAAGAACAAATGCACATCTGTCCCTGCAATGGACAGCAACATCTAGATTTTGTAATTAGGAGCAAAGTTTGGAGATGGACAAACTGTGCGTTTAGAAAGGGACATTTTTACTCCAGCTTCAACTAGGATCTCTCAATACCTGCAGAGATTAGGGCTGAATACATTCCTTTTTATAGTACAGATGAGCAGCAGTTTGAAAATTTGTGTGAGTTTCTAGAGGCAGGTTTTCAGACTGCCAAATTTCCCATTAATTTGAAAAGAATTGTGTGAGGGAGAAAAGAAAAAAACAATCATGACATACACAGTTCAGTCACATAGGGCAAAAGTTCTTGTTCTTTAACACTTCTTTGAGCAGTTCTCCTCCCCTCTCCTCTGGATAGAGCAATGCCTTTTGGCAGCAAGCTACTTTGTAAATGTGAGGTAGTAAATGACAGTGAATTTTAAACATAAACAAGCATGCAGGTCTGTACCACGCAGTTTAAAAATAAAAGCCCAAGGGAACTTCCTTTAGTAAATAACAGCAAAGTTCTTCAGAATTGTATGCAGGTGAAGAGGTGGTCTCTGGTTTGGAAAATGACCTTCCCCACACAAAGCCAGAATGAGAAGAGTTTCATAGATGTGAGGTTAGCAAACCAGCAGCAGTGTGGTTAGCTACATTGGTTTGGTTTGGTTCTTACAAACTCACTCCCATTCCTCACCTGACCTGTGAGAATGAAAACCATTTTGAAGCCTCTTTAGCTTCATACAGCAGTAATTAAAAGAATGCACCAGCCCACATCAACAAAAAAGCAAGAACATGAAAATCTAGTGAAAGAGAGAGAACGAAGGTCAGTGCCATACTCATTTCTAGGTATTCATCAAAGAGCCCATAAGCATTCATAGGTTGCAGATTGTAGTCCTTTTCCCACTGTGGGAAGCTTGTTTTTCTCTGTGTGCCATACTCTTGTCGTAGTTTTCTCCTGGTCCACCAGTTTTGAATTAACCTGCATTTTCAAATAAATTAAAGAAACAAGGTAAATAATATTAGTGGCTATTTATCACAAAATTGGAAGAGGCTAAGTGTGCACAACATACCTTCCAAAATTAATTTCCCAATGCACAGGAAAATAGAGTGCTAGTAATACATGTGGCTGATGAAACGGTGTTATAGGTATGAAACAGATACGGCTGATGGGCTGTAATCCTGGCCTAGATGTTGTTAAAATGGTGGAGGGATTTTGACATCTTTTCATTATTTATTTACCTTCTTTTTCTTTACAGAGAATGGCAAATCACTTCAGGGTCTGTTTATATGGCAGAATGCAATGCTGTGTGGAAATAGTTGAGCTCTAATTGAGAAATCAGTAAATAGAGTGCTAATGCTGCTTGAGCCCTTCCTGTGTGCAAGCCGGCATCTCTACACGGCTCTACAGTGTGCGGAGTAACAGTCCCCGGGCAATCTCGGAAGGGAAAAAGCAACCTTGAATGGTGTCTGCAGCCAAACATTCAGAGGAACAAAAGGCAGAAAGAAGTGTGTGGACTACTGACAACACGTGGTGGCCAAGAGGTGGATGGCTGACATGAGAGCAATCTCCACCTCAAGAAGTGGGGGAGCTGTACTGGACTTCAGGGGGAAGATATTGTTCCTGAAGAAACACATGTGTAGGGGGACCGTGGGAGGCACTGAGCCAGAAAAGAATTGAGTGCTCACATCTGAAATAAACGCCTTTGCCTCTCCAGGTCAGGGAGTTGCACTGGTTTGGCCAACAAAGGACACGAGTTACAGTTAGTATAGAGGGGGGGGGGGGGGGAAAGACGACAGAGATTTTCTCCGAAGTTGTGGTTGGCCCCTTCATCTCAGCAAGATAGAAGGTGATGGCTCACCCAAGTAATTCAATCCTTTCCCTGACTACTTCACTTCTTGCCTTCACAGTGGCCTGGTCTGGTCTGTGAATGGTAGGCAAATGGCCATTGGATTTGGATAACGGTTTGGCCAATTGCTTGCTTTCTTAAAGCTTAGAGATTAGTTTTCCATTCAGGCCATTTACCAGAGAGGTTATAGCTTTTCCTGTCTTCCTTAAAGAAGTGTAGGTGCAACTGAGTGCAGGGCATTAAAATCTAGACTTTAGAAGTGCAAGAAAAAAATTCAGAAGTACAAGCATGGACTTCCAGTCAAAATTTGGAAGAACAAGAAATTATTAAAATATTTGGGTTTAGCAGCTTGCAGCCAGTCACTAGTGTGTAAAAAGCCTAAAAAGGCCTTCCCTGTGAATGACCATGGTTGTGACTGATGAACTATGGGACAGTTAAAGGCACATCTTTGCAGATCACAGCACCCTTTGGGACTTTGCCTTTCATGACCTGCCCATGAGAAAGTGAGAGGGCTGAGAACTGAATTCCTGCAAAGGCAGCATATTGAAGGGTGAGGTGGGTGGGAGACCAATACGCTGAGACAGATCCCGGTTAACTTCCTCCTTTGTGAGAGGGGAAACCCATAACTAGTGTTAATAAATATTTAAGACTTCTAGTAAAATTCAAAGAGATGTCATTTTCTGATTTATGTGTGAGCAAAATGTGAGCAATGCGATATAATGTGGTTTTAATATGGAAGTATGCTGTTCTTCCAAGAAAAACATCAGCTTGAAATTGCAGTTTTCCACCTCCAATTGAAGTAATAATTTATACTTTGTTTGTTAGTTATTATGTATGTATCTATGCATGAGAGGAGATCTGATGCACACTTTCAGAGGTTTCAAGGTGGTGTTTGTATGAAGCAGAAGCACCACTCTGACATGCCAGTGTTTGTATTAAAAATGTAACCACTAAACAGTCAATGCTATAGCACACACACTAGGGCATCTCCTTGATATCTTTGAAACCTAGTTTTTAACTCTCAGGCAGAAATTTCAGAAGAGAAGCCAATGCCACATGTATCAGTGAGAAATGTGACGGCAGGCGCTGGGTTTCCTGTCACCAAGGAACACTCGGTGGCATTTCTGACTTGCCCTGTGTGTCTCTGCAGTCACTGTAGGAGCACATGCCTAGACCAGAGCTGGGCTGCCACCCTGAAATGGTGCAAAAAACCACTCTCCAAAACAGGCTGCTGGTGCTTCTCTCCTAAGGGCTGTCTTATGGGGAAATATTCTCTGCTATCAACTTTGGCACTGCGCAGTGCTGGCTCTGCCTCGGTTTCGGCAGGCAGTAGCCAGTACACAAGTGGAGGTGCAGCTATGTTCTACTACAGACTATAGGATTGCCTTCAAATCCTCTGGCCATCCACATGGTGTTGGCTCTGATCATGCTCTTAGCAGAAATGATCATGTTTTTTTCACACAAAAAGGAAATGCACTTGCCTGCAGCAATGTGCGCTTGCAGCCCAGAAGGCCAATCATATCCTGGGCTGCATCAAAAGAAGCGTGGCCAGCAGGGCGAGGGAGGCGATTCTGCCCCTCTACTCTGCTCTGGTGAGACCCCACCTGGAGTACTGCGTCCAGCTCTGGAGCCCTCAGCATAAGAAAGACACGGACCTGTTGGAGCGGGTCCAGAAGAGGGTCACAAAAATGATCAGGGGGATGGAACACCTCTCCTCTGAAGAAAGGCTGAGAGAGTTGGGGTTGTTCAGCCTAGAGAAGAGGTGGCTTCGGGGAGACCTTATTGCAGCCTCTCAGTACTTAAAGGGAGCTTATAAAAAAAGATGGCGGCAAACTTTTTAGCAGGGCCTGTTGCAATAGGACAAGGGGGAATGGCTTTAACCTAAAGGGGGGTAGATACAGACTAGATATAAGGAAGAAATGTTTTACGCTGAGGGTGGTGAAACACTGGAAGAGGTTGCCCAGAGAGGTGGTGGATGCCCCATCCCTGGAAGCATTCAAGGTCAGGTTGGACGGGGCTCTGAGCAGCCTGATCTAGTTGAAGATGTCCCTGCCCACGGCAGAGGGTTTGGACTAGATGACCTTTAAAGGTCCCTTCCAACCCAAACTATTCTATGATTCTATGAAATAATTTGTTCTTAAACAATCTCCTCCTATCTCCTTCAGTCACCGTCTTTAATCCCCTTCTGTGCTCTTTATTAGGTTTCGAAATCCCTATTAATAGGTAGCAGAAAGATCTAATGAAAACTGATAAAAGAGGCAGGGAGTGCAAAGAGAAGGATCAATACTGCTGCTGCTGTTCCCTCCTCCCCACCCCGGCTAATTCCTCCAGCCCTAACAGCTGCAAAATCCTGGCAAGTAGCGCTAGGCACAAACCTGGGAAGACGGAGAGACAGCGAGCTTTGAGTACCTTGATTGCCAACTACTCTGTGCATTTAAATCATTTACTCCGTTCTCATTACAGCCAGATATGACCAGCACTGAGGCTGCCTGAAATCACTTCTGCAACACATTTCTGCAGTTCAGGGACCAAACTCTTCACTAGCTCTACTGTGGATCCTGAAGCGAAGCAAGTCCCTCTGAACACGCAAGGGCAAACTTTCTGACAATGTCAGCTCTCTCTTATATTTTCACATTTGCTAATTTCCCTTGATGACCTGCCACACTGTCTCTAGCATCAACTATCTTTATTAATCATATTAAACATGCTCATTAAATACTAATCAATAAGAAATGAACCAAGAGGAAATGAATAATCATCAACCTTTTTAGCTAGGGGACAGCTCCATAATACCCTGAAGGTCACTAGGGAACTTGCCTATATACCAGTCAGTACATTCTTCTATCTCTGACAGTGTATATGCCAGCAGTGCATTTTTTCCAGCTCATACCTGCCCTTTCAGGCATCTTTTATCACCCAGCAAGGAGAAATCTAGTTTAGAACTCACTGGCATAGCTAAAAAATGATACATATAATATTTCCTGTGTAAGGAATACAGCAGTCCTACAGTTATTTTTAAGGAGTTTTAAAACAGGAAATAAAATTTAATGAAATCAAGTACTTCCCATATATTATTTATTTGCTAATATTTATATTACACTTTCACTTTTGCAAACTATGTTCAATGTGAAAAAACCCCCAAACACTATCTATCACTATACATCTGAAAATCTATATTAAGAGTTTTGTATCCTAGGGGGGATTTTCTGTTGTAATGACTACTGTATCTTGCTTTTATGTAACTGGTCATAAGGAAAGCATAAACTTAGTATTATTCTGTGACCTACAGAAGCATAGGCATTATATTTACTTACGGGTAGCCCAGTTCCATGAAGTTATTCCAGGTCTGCTTTAGCACCATTATAATACCCATTTGCATACAGAGATCAATAAGGCATCCACTAGGGTGGCACTACAGAAAAAAAAGAAACAAAAGGTTAAACAGAAATGATGCTGAGTTTTTAATAATTTCTTAAAGACTGTAAATGGATATTAGATAATTTACTTAAAGGAAATTAAATGCCATTCTCTTTAATTTTTAAAAAAATATGAACTCATGGGAGCATATGAGACTGTATCATACCATGAGCCTTTTAAGCCTATAATCTAATTCTCTGCAGAGGTCAGAATCAGTTGAAACCAATGCAGTTTTCACATTAGTGATGCTAGTATGTTGCGCAACTGTGGGTGGGACAGAGGCAAAGGCTAACAAGTTTCTTCAATGATTTCAGTAGTTTTTGGGGAGGGTGACTATGCCTCAAGTCTGCACAGGCAAACAGTTTATGCCTAAAGGATGGACCTAATACTGTTTATTGAGTACTATTTAATGTATATGACTGAGTGGACTATGCAAAGCTAGTATCTTCTTGAAGAACTAAAAATCTCTAACTGTCGAACAACAGTTCTCGGTGTCTCTTGCTGAGTGCTTGCTTGTTTTAGCAGTGGCTCCAGGCCTTGAAGAAGCGGTGCTGCTTTTGGAAGAGATGCTCAGCTAGTACAAATTTAAGTAATTCCACGATTTTTCATCTAGTATTGGAAGAAACAGAAAAGGGCCAAAAACTTTCTGCCCTCAAACAGCATTTTTCACAATTGACTTTGCAGATCCAAACAGTGGAGGTCCAAGCTGTATTGTTAGATCCTGGGTATTATGGATAAGTTGAACAGGTCACTGTCATAGAACTGGAAATATTTCTCTTTAACTTTTGGGGAAAAAAATTTACATTAGTTATGACCTGTAACAAAATGTGATATGAATTTCTTACACATACTGCATTATCAGTGCTCAGAACCAGGGTTCCTGCTGAGGTTTCTGTTGACCTCATTCAGCTTCTCTTTAGATTAACAGGGTGGCAGATAATTTATTTTTTTTAAATTAACTTTTCTAGCATATTATTAAATCGCCATCCTTCTGTTTTTAGGAATCAGTCACATGAGCCAATATAACCTAAGAGACATAGGTGCAGTATTAATGAAATAGCAGTGATGTTACAATCATAACATCACTAATGCACTTTGTACGTTGTGGTCTGACTATGCCAACTGACACTGGACCAGGCTATATCGTGTTACTAAATGTCTTACACTTGGCTTCATCCAACAGGTGAAGAGAGGGCTATTGGAGGGATATCTGGGCATTATATTCTACATTATGTTTCTAATAAGACCTAACACAGATATGGTCAACAAAAGTAAGACTTTTTTTATTAGACATTTCTTCTCTTATTAGACTTTTTTTTTTGCTCTGAGAAAGGCAAAATAGTAGGGACTACTAATAGTAGCTTCCACCAGCAACTGACCCAACCTGTAACACCTAGCTGCTGCTCTTCCCTCCCAAACCTGGTTCTTTGTTCCTCCCATCTCTGCTCCTGCAAGTGAGGTTCTTTCCCTGTTCCCTGCTGCCTCTGTGAGATGATTCAGCCCAGTAACTCATCAGAAAACTAATTCAGCCAGAAAAAGGAAGCATTTCCTGCTGATACAGGGAACTGAATAGGCTCCTCACAGGGTTGAACAAGCCAGAGCCAGTGCAGAGGAAGGAGTAAACTTCTGGGGGAAGTCAAAGGAACAGCAGAACTGTCTTCTTTTGGCAGCAGCAAGCTGTTAGGTCAGCTTGGCCCCTCTCAGACTTTGGAGGGATGTTCAGTGAATTTCTGTCTGCCCGTTTATCAATTTTTCTTTCCTTGAATGTACAGAATTCACTGCTTCAAAATTAGAATGGCTTTTTCAAATTATTCCTTTTTTTGCTAGTATTTGGATGACCTCTATTAATCAAAATATTTAGATATCTGGAAGTGTTTGTAAATTCATGTTGGCAGCATAAGACCTGCATTTTCCACTTGCCATTTGTCATGTATTTGCGAAGTTGTTTCAGTTATTCAGCTGTGAAGCAGGAAAGAAACCATGGGATTTGAGTGTGCGAATAGCAGCACTGGAAGCTACATGACTGATCCAGAAACTGCTGCTGTTCACTTCCAATAACTGTCAAATGGTTTTTGAGTTCTGAATGTATTTGCCAAAAAAATGGGATTGGTCTTTGAGTGACTTGCAAAGCCAACCTCTCATTGCTCTCCAAATCCATTTGGTTTTATAGACATGGAACATTATGCCAGTAGTTCTTTCGGGAAGTTTGTTCAGTTGTTTTGGTCAATTTTCAAGTACATTTTATGTGTCTGGATTTTTAATTTATTATTTTGTTATTTTAGCTCCCTGGTCAGCAAGGCTAGAAAAGCTGAGAAGAAAGGATTTTTTTAGAAGCAAAAAGTTGTCAGATTCATATCTGACTTTGATTAATTTCAAGGATGAAATATTTCCAATGTAAAAATGTGAGTAATGTTTAAACCATTTGATACCACTATCCAAATGTGATGCAAACACTACAACTGCTAGCATTAAAAAGGGCATATATATCAGTATGTCGATGTTTTTGTAGCAGATGGTAGTGTCAGTAGTGTGGAGTTAGACAGCAACTGAAAACCCAGTAACACACTCAAAAATACCTAGACAGAGTTATGTGTCTGCCTCTGCTTGCATTCACTGCATCTGTGGGCAGCAGATAAATCAGTGTGTAGTTAGCGAACACTCACCTCTTCCAGTCTCCACCGGTTTATCAGCCTTAAGTAGGCACCAGGGTGTCCTGTAAATCTTTAACACAGGAATACACATCAACTATGTTGTGTGAGCAGTCTGGTCACAGTAGTAGAAGAAAGCTCACACTGTTGTTTTAATCTAATGTCATCTTAGTGTGATTGATATAACTATAAAAGATGTTATGCTGCAAAAAGATTTGGGGGATTCCTGGAATAATTTCTGTGAAGTGCTAAGTATATTTTTACTTCCAGTTTTATTTCAATACCAAATACTCTGCTGTTGGATATTCAGCATATGCAGAGAAGAGAAAAAAATCTGAATAAAACTGTTCATGTCAGTTTGGAAAATGGCTTTCAACTGCCAGTCCATTTCCTTACACCATAATGTGGGCTATGATATCTGCCTTTCTGCAAAATCAATGAAAATGTTAGTTTTCATTAGGAAAACATAATTTTCTTACTGTCCTCCCATGTTTTCTCCCAAAATGATTCCCACAACTTCCCACATGCAAATAATTCATACTGATGGATTCTTCTACTCAAGCCTTCTCTACTCAAAGGCTCTTCTTTTGCTTTTAGGGGACTTGCAGAAAGAGACATACAGATTTTTATATATATATTTCATTTTCTGTGGAAAAAAACCCCAACTGATGGCTCATAATTCACTCTTAACAGTCCAAATCATATAATAGAAGCAGAAAAGTATTCAGGCAGTTGGACTAGATGATTGTTGTAGGTCCCTTCCAACTGAACTATTCTGTTCTACTCTGAAAGAAAAAGACAGTGTTATTTACTTACCTGTACAAATTACACACATAAAGACAGAGTGAAGTGACCTGCATATATAGTATTGTGGGACGCATCTGTTCCCAGTAATGAAATTGTTAAAAGTTAGCACTGAGACAATGTGGTGCTAGGAAATGAAAACTACGTCTGTTTCTGGGCTTTTGAAAGGAAAATAAAACTGCAATCTGTCCTGCTTTGCTAGTATGGAATTTGCATTTTGAGATGTGTGATAATATGGTCCCATTTTGTTTCATTACAGACAATTTTATTTCTTCTCTCTACTTCATTTTGCACATATGAGGGTGCAGACATCAATCCTACCTTCCAAGGAAGAATGCTATATAAAAGGTAGAGCTATTCAGATTGACAAACTGAAAAAGAAACATTTTCAGAGTGAAGCTGTTCTCCCACTCGGATTCGGTACGAGGCTGCTCTGTGAAGAAAGAGAGCAGAGTTTCAGAGGTTTAATCAGATTAACAATTTCCCTTGGCACAAAGGCTGCACACACCTATCAGAGCTGACAATGTATTTGTCAATTAGTCTGCTGATTTCAAAATATAAGCTGACAGAAGAAATTGTATCCAAAAGCAGCACACAGCAAGTGAGCTTGTAAAGACTTAGAAATCTCTTCTGATATCTGGATACATATATTCCCAGGAGACTGTAAGAAAGTGGTCGAGATAATGTGTATACTAAACATCCCTCCTGGATTCCTGTGTGCTTTACAGGCTCAGGCTCTTCTCGTTTCCTTTTCTGCAACCTACCATAATGACATTGCCAGAAAGCACCCCACTACAATCTGAGTAAGTGCCTTTTTATTAGAGACGTCATACTGAACTGGAGCAAATCCTCCTTGTAATTCTGTTTCATGGATTGGCCCACCATGCTGGCACCTAAGGACTCTACACAGGTATCAGTGGAGTGCCACTGCATGACTCCCTTTCCTTGTCCCAGGGAGCTTATCACAGAAGACTGAGAAAAAATATTTTGCAATGGATGGGGTAAGGCAAATGTGAAAGGGGAAGACATAGTCTTCCCTTCAGGTAGGCCATTAATCTCCATCTAAAGAGATATCAAGACAGAAGTTAACAAAACAACTTCTATGACAACACACCAGTACCATGTCCTGGAACCACTTTCCAGTTGGCAGAAGCTTGTTATTAGTCAACCATTGCTGTGAACAGGAATAATCAGAGGAGAAGAGGAGATACTAATGGTGATTCTGAGTATCATAATGGTAGTACTTACATATTACTTCCAAAGGAGCCTCCAGTAAAGTACTGGAAGTACAGAAACAACAACGATGAACTAGATTCTTTTTAATTAGAGCTGCCCTACCCATGAGGAAATTTCAAACAGATGCATCAACAAAACCATAAAACAGACCATAAATCAACAACTGTGTTAGTGATTTGGAAATGCCTGTCAAGAAACCCAAGTTTGTGTGTATGCCAGTACATACATATTCAGCTAAGCAGAAAGAAATAAAACATTGTGGATTTTTGGTGCCAGTCTGTAGGAAGGACAAGTTTGACTTTAACAAGGCTGCTGCAGCTGAAGCTTTGCTCATATGCCCATCAGAGACAATGGCAATGCTCTAGAAGAGCACAGATGTGAGCTCTGAAAAAGGTCATGTAAAGGCTGAAGAAGGACATCCTGAATGTAGCTTTGCTGCCAATCCCACTCTGAGCTTATTGCACTGATAAAGATCGTTCAAACCAAATCAGGTACTTAGACCATCAGAGTAAAAACCACAAAACAGCCTGAACACTGTCAGAACAGCTTGACCCACTGAGTTTTCATACAGGTGGTACAGCTACAAGAAGCAGATCTACCTTGATGATAACCTGGCAGAAAGTAATCAAGCTTTAAGGTCTCTAGACCATATCCTACTGTCCCCAGGGTGTCACAAGGAGTAAAAGGGCATAGCCTGTGCAAATCACATACTTGAAAGTCATATTTCTCAACTGTAACTAGCAGGTATCTTTTCCATGGACACAGGATGGCAAAAACATTTTAAATTTACAGCATAGAAATGAGGACTCTCAGTCTAATAAGAAACAACAGAATAAAATGCTATCTTACACAGACGTGCTTTGAACACATCATTTATGACTTCCCAGATGTAGAAAAGCCCTGACACTAGCTAAAATCAGCTGTGTGTTTCCTCTGAGCAGACACCAAAATCTGTCCACCTGGTCCAAAATACCTTACTGAACATCATCAACGTACAAAGGTATGCAGAAGCTCAAAATAATCTCCTGAAACCACTTCTACACATGCCATAATATGGTTCGCTTAATAGGCCTTCAGCAAGAGTCTCCTCTCAGGCTTCTAGACACTAAGGAGCCCTTGCCAATTGCCACCAACTACTGCAATCTTCCAGCATGATCAGGATCTCCGGAGACTCTGCCTGAGCCATGGATATATAAATGATAGCCTATTGCTACCCCAGTGACAGTACATGCTGTCCTTAGAAAACATGTTGTCCTTACTCTAGCATAAAGAACACCTTTATGGGCGAGCTGAAAAGATTACAGAAACTTAGAACACCATTAGAGTTTAGGTGTTGGTACAGTTGATGACTCACCAAGTTATTTTCCCTGCAAATTACTGCCCCTCTTAAAGGCATATGTTTGATAGTCAATAAGCACCTTAGTTTCAAGCTATAAATTTGGCTTCCAGAAGTGATTCCCCCATTTTCAGGTCTTCACAAAACCTGAGGGTTATGAGTGCTCAGTCTCTCTGAAAAACTCATGCTTTTTCTCCCAAGGTAACAATTTGTTTAAGTTGTTGCAAGGTAAGGGGTTGGTAAGCATGGCAGGTGGGTGATTGTTGTCACCACTGTCACCACTAATTGAATGGCACTATAGCTTAGTTTATATATTCCTTTATTATAAACTTAAGAAAGACATTCATTCCTATAGATTGCAAATTAATCAGGATTTTTCATATTTATACAGACAGTTTGAATGCTATCACAGTATAGGGAACAAAAAATCAGTACAATATAATTCAATTTTGTATTTAACATTGCTTACCTAAATTTGTCAGGAAAAGAGCAACCTTTTCATACAGCTGTAACAGAAAAGAAACAGCCTCTTAAGAAAGACATTAATTCCTATAGATTGCAAATTAATCAGGATTTTTCATATTTATACAGACAGTTTGAATGCTATCACAGTATAGGGAACAAAAAATCAGTACAATATAATTCAATTTTTGTATTTAACTTGCTTACCTAAATTTGTCAGGAAAAGAGCAACCTTTTCATACAGCTGTAACAGAGAAGAAACAGCCTCTTAGATATGTGACAAACTCAAAAATATAGAACTGCTTTCTAAGTAGAGTAACTGCTCTTACATGTTAAATCTGACATCCAGATGGTCTCTGTGATGTTCTGATAATGATGATAATAAAACTATGTAGTAATAATACAATAATGATAAATCAAACAAGGAACAGTAATATTTTTAAAGCTTATACTCAGCTCTTTTCATCTACAATATATGGAGAAAAAAAATTGTGTCACTGTCCCTATTTTACATACACAGTGAAAAAGGGTCAGATAACTTTTCCAAAAACACAAAGCAGAACAATAGCACAACTGGCATTTTTGTTTTAGTTACTTATGGAACATTTATCTCACAAAAAAAATCACCCTAGTAAGAGCATGCTCTGGTATGCTGGGTATTTTGGGCTTTTTGGTTTTGTCTGGGATTTTTTTGGTGCTGAAAGGAAAGACACTGGGGAGACAGGGTTGCTTCAGAGAAAGTCTTTAGTAATCCCCATCACCAGACACATTTCTTACTCTGAGTCTGTGACATTGTTCTAAATCCTAAGTGCTACTTTCTGCGCTTAGCAGATACCATGCTCTCAAACTCTCTGGGAGACTGCTAACTTCATAAAGCTTACAAAAACTAACTTAGAGAGTTTTCACAATTAGTATTTACAAAGGTGTTTTGAACCTGTGAAGTACATCACCACCAACATCAGTCTTAGTGTAAATTAATACGATTTCCATTTGCTTTAAAGGAGTCTGGAGCCTGTTCCCACAAAATGCTAAATGTCCTTAACTCTCACTGATGCCTACAGGGATACAAAGCTCCTCATATTTCAGGCTCAAGCACTTACTTATTCCTAAAGTGCATATCAGCAATGTTTCTCTTCATTTGCAGTTATCCTTATAAACTCTTGCTTAAATTGAGTTATGTACAATTTACAGATCAAACTGCCTGCTTAAGAACTGAAGTCACCCTGAATTATCTCATCCATGTTAACAACCACTTCTTGCTTAGAATAGCTTTTTGCTGCCTTTAGAGTAAACAGTTTTGTTTCAAGTAATGAAAAAGGTGGCTTCTTCTACGTTTAAAAGCATCTCTTAAGGGCAACTGCAAAAGTGCTAAATGTCTGGGTGGTTTATATCCTGATCCCAGCAGGGAGTGTGCTATTTTATAAATGTACATTGCTCTGCAGAAGGGGGTATCAAAACTGTATTTTGTTGCTATTCCTCCTGGAACAGTAAGACTGTGTTAGAGATTCTGTTAACAATGTTTGGATCTAATTATCTGCTACTGCAGCTTATCGATACTAGTCCCAAGGGGCCTTGTTTAGGATCATATTCTGTTCTGTGTTCATATTTTCTATGGGCGGTATCACTGGAATTAACAGGTTTTATTAACCTTGGTAAAGCTAATGATTGTTCCCAGGTCAGGCTGCATGATTATCTGGGAGACATTATGCTTGAAGGTCATTTCATTTTGTCATGATGGATGTGTCAGTGTATGTACCTAGCTCTCAGAGCATCCACTCTAGAAGTTTCTTTTGGTTTAGACCTTTCCCCTGATGCTTAGAGAGGTTGCCAACTTGTATCAGAATCACTGGCGGTTTTCCAGGCTTCCTAGCAGCGAATTCCCTACTGTTATATACATCTTGGTCCATTCTGGTTTTATTACTGTATCTTTGCTTGCTCTCCTGCTACTTTTCTTGAGTCACAGTTTGTAGAGGATTCAACTACCTGAATTGCTCCTGGGGATTTTTTTTTTTTTGCCAAAATAAATCCCACTACTGTCCTTCAGTAAACTACATTAATCCATCACGGGAAGTGAGGAATTATGTTCTTAAGTCCTTCTTTTGAAAAGCTCATGCAGTTTCATATTTTGGGGATCTTTTGTTTCCATGAGCTATATCCAGATCTAAGGCTGTGGTGTTTATTGCATGGTAATGAGTATAATGCTTAAGAACTCCATCTTTGCAGTGCTCTATTTATTTGATGTATTTTAGGGAATAAAACAAAGTTTCTCAAAAGGCACCTTCAAGCCATCTTCCATTACTTTAAAAATTTCTCTAAGCTGTAAAACTCTTTGAGAAACAAGTAATTTTGTTTGTGCAGTATTTCTTTGTTGCTGCTTCACTGCATATACAATGACTTATACTGAGAGCTTGGAAATGGATGTTGTACTGACATAGATATATATAGTTTTCTTTTTATTTCTTCTATGCTTATTGTGTGCTCTAGGTAGATTAAAGAAACCCGCCCAAAGCTGCAGGCAACAAACAATAAATCAAAAATAACATAAAAGAAGAGAGTCATCAGTACAAATTCAGAGGGAATAACAGCTTTCACCTCTTCTTTCTGCCCTTTCTCAGCCTATAGTCCTATCTTAGGGAAAACACAGGAAAGCCAACAGCTTAATAGACTGTCCTAGTCACCAATCCAGTCTTGCCTATGCCAAAAGGAGAAGTGAAGTCCTACCTCTTGGAATTTCCTGCTATATAAACAAGGGGCTGTTCAAATCAACTTTTAGATGAAATGGAAATGCTTGGGTATTGCACAGGAAAGAAAGTAGTCTCCAAGCCAGCACTTGGAAATGTGCAGGCCTGAAATAACATCTTATATTTCCCCTAGGAAGTAAGTCAGCATCTCTCTTGGAGCAAAGCCTAACATGCTTTTTGCAGAAGACACTTGCTACTGAGTGGGTAGAGATACTCCACCCTGGTTCCAGTATCTGGATGGCTTGGAGGTTGATCCCTCCTCTGCCTTAAAATGCATTCTTATAATGTCAGTTGACAAAAACCTGATAGTAAAAGGCCATATACCTCTTGCCAAGAGCAACTAATAGAAGACACATTGCTATCACAGCAATATACAGAAGTACCTGCATCTCGATGGAACGATGAAACTCATTCCCCATCTAATCTATGCTATACTTAGTCTTATGGGGGCTGTTACCACATAGAAATTCCCTTTTTGTCTTTGTCCCAAGTCTGGTTCCAAACCAGTTCACAATAACCTGACCTCAGCCAGCCCCCCTACAATGCACCCAGACCATGTCTCTCATGTACCCTGGCAAAGGCCATAGGCAGCTCATGGAACAAGTCACGTCTGCTCAAGCCTCGTGAAGTTTTCAGCCCAAGGGAGTTCTCCTGCATATGGACATTATGTCTGTATATGCATATCCTCACTGGTAAACTCCTGCGAAAACTGAAGCTGGAATTACTGACACTAGTATAAATAAGAATTAAGCTTGGCCACTGTGTTTAAAAAATAACATCAAAACACTAATTAAAAAGAAGAATATTAATGAAATGGACTGAAACCTGCAAACAAAGGAAAAAAGGAGGCAGCGGATAAAACAGGAGTACAGACATGTCTCCCTAAAATATTTTTTAGAACATTCAAACATGCTTTACATAACGTTTTGGGTTTGGAATTGTACTTTACATAAATAGCGAATGATGTCCATAAACAATAATGCCATGTCTGGCTTAGCGAGACACTCCCTTCCCGCTGAAAAAGGAACCAAAAGCATTCAGTGGTCTGCAGACTGAGATATCTACTGATCCGATGGCTCAGGTATAACTTTGGATATGTTAGTTTTACTCACCACATTCAGTAGCATGATGATGCAAAAGTTGATGCACACTGCAGTCCCTGTAGTTGCAACCTGAGAGTTATTCCTGATTAAAGCCCACTTAAAGGCAGCAAAAGTGCTGACAGTCACAACACGGTAAATAACAATGCCAAAAACAGCAGCAATCACCACACAGATCTAAAGGAAGAAAAAATCAGAGAGAAGAACCTGAAAACTTTCAATAGAACAGGAGTTTACGTCTCCCTGAAACTATGAAAACTAAAAAAATGAAATGAAAGACTTGAAAAATACATCCATTTTGATTCCAGAGAAAGGTTTCAGCGTGAATATTATTCTTATTGTGAAGTCCTTTTTATTTTCCATAATGCAAAATATCTTTGAAATAATTTTAAAATAATTTTTAGTTTTAAACATGCTCTTGAAAATGTATCTCTTCCTTAGCATTAATGTGGGAAACAGTGTTGCCAGCTCTGGGAATTAGAAATTTTCCTTACAGGCATGTTCCACGATGTGCAAAGGCTAGTCTCAAGCTGATGTCCCAGCTTGATGGTGTCATTTTTGGGATGGATTTTTTGCTTTGATGGACTTCACACTTACAGGAAAAAATGTCTCCATTTGTAAGCACTACCTCAACAACAACCCTGGCAAGCTACCTCAGCAAGCTGTTTCTTGCTACAGTTCTGGAAAGATTCTATCTAGGGAAGGTAACAAATTCAACTGCCCTTGTAATTTCTTCTCTGATGAGACTTTCAGCAAATGTGACAGTTATAATGTGAAAAGCCATGCAGCTGAGCCAGGCTGCTAAATCACTTGATGTTCCATATGCAACAGTTGAGCACTAAATGACAACTGTTTTCCATCGTGACCAATTTATGTCACAGTTTAGCAAGCCACCTAAAGGACAAACAGTTGGGAATTAGCGTGGGTGACTCATCTCATAGAAACTCTGACACAGTACCTGTTAGCTACCTTATTAGATAAGGAGAGAGAGTTTCTTCAGTAGAAGACAGATGATTATTTGCAAAAGATAGGTGTATTCCAAGGTTATGCATAGACAACTTAAACCTATCAAAACTGAAGTATATCTAAGCTAATTTAATGGGCAAAATGATTTTGAAAACACTGAATGCTAATCAAGCTGTTTTTATATTTTATGAGTTACTGAACTGATCGACATAATCCCAGTGCAGACGAAAAAGAAAAGTGTGTGTGACGAAGGGCTAGTTTATTAGATTTTCTGCTACCACATTGGCAGCTCATAGAAACATTACAAAGTTACCAAGCTAGAGGATTGCCTCTGGATTCCCTGCATAGTCTTGAGGGGAAGAAGGACCACTTTCCTTTGTTAACAGGGAATCACTAACCTGATTCAAGCTGTATTAGTAACTGCACTGTGAGAGTCAATGCTCTGAAATGTTGAGAACTGCTCTAACTCGAAGTTTTGATAAGCGTATATCTCCTGTGCTTAAAGCTATAATTTTTAAGGAATATTTTTACCTAAATGGGGGAAAATTCAGATTTTTTCTAACTCATTGGAAGCTCATGCTATGCCAGTAATAAAAAATATCTTCAGTGAAAATAATCCTTGTCCTGTTTCAAGGACTGTTATGGGGACAATTTGTGGTGCATGCAATTCAGAGCAAGGCTACTCTCTGACACTTTGAGCAAGATCTATCACTAGGCTAAGATCAATGACTGCCTTTGCAAAGGGTAGGGAGTGAAAAGTGTCCCCCCTTCAAGAAAAAAATGTAGGGAAAATGCAAAATGTTGCAGGTGTACAACCAATTCTGAGCAGAGACTGCAGTCCAGAGCAGATATAGTGTCTTCAAGGGCTGAGTCAGACAGTATGTTGGCTCCTCATGCCCAGTGTTTCTCTGTGTGTCTCTTTCCATCCACCTGACACAGCAGAGCACAGTTCATCTCAATATTGCTCTTGCCTTTCTTGTCCAAGATTGCTTTGGAAAATTTTGAAGCCATCAGTTTCTTACAAACCCTCTGCCCTATTCCCTCCCGTCTCATTCAAACACAAAGTTACTGCGCTAGCTCACCCACCTGGCTCTCCACAGCTCCTGAAGTTATACACATGTATCATTTTCTAGCCTCTGGGAAAAGCCCTAGTAAATTCCATGAGGGTCTGAGTTGATGCCAGCTGTGTTTTCAAGACCAATCCTACCACTGCTGTTGTCATGTGAATAACAGTGAATAATACATTCAGTGAAATTAGAGGATGGGGGCATTTCAGCAGAAATGCATGCAGCGCTCTGTTAGGAGAGATTTTGCTGCTGCATTTAGTTTTGCACTTTGGAAGGGGGAGAGATGCCTCATTTTAGGCAAGGAACATCGGTTTCTCCATTTCAATTGCACTAGGAATATGAACCCTCTTTCCTTACCTCCTCAATACACTGAAAAACTAGGACATATTAACATCATTAAGCACTCTAGGCATCTTAGTTATGTTCTCTGTAGAGATTACAAAGAACGACTGCCTCTTCCATGACATCTCTCCCCATCACTCTGCACTGTCTACACAGGGAAGGCAAGGAAATCAGTGAGCTAATTCAGCCAGCTGAAGTTGGTGTCTAAATGTGGTAGCGTCACCATTCCGGTATGTGTGTCACTACATATAGCCTTATGTGTTTAGCATTGAAGGAAGGACTTAACTATCTGTGAGACTCAGTGAAGAGTAAACTAGTGTGGGACTTTACAGAAACTCAGGCTATTTGCTGCGTACAGATTTTCAGCCTGCAGTAAACATGCTAGAGCTCATTTCATTTTCAAGCAGTCATATCCAATACCTCCATACTCTCTCAACAGAGATAATGTTATCTTGTATTTTTTCAGCTGGTAAATAAATAAAAGTTCTCAAACCATAAAAAATATTCCAGATGCAGAAACAATAAGTCTGCTGCATTTATCTGCAAATGCTTGATAAGGCTCTGGCTTCCCGGATATGGGGTTCATTCGTTCTTTCTTGGAGTACTTGGCTTCAAACTGCGGACGTATTTCCTCCTAAAGAACAGACAGACAATGTTTATATACAGCACAGCTAGGAAAGATTCTGTAGGAAACTTCAGATCATTTATCAGATCACTGTTATTGGGAATTACATCTTTGAATTCAGCAGCTGGCACAGCTACTATAAAAGCTGAGCTGGGAAATCAGGTCTCCTTCATGAGAACTAGAATAAATCACTGTACCCATAAAACCATATTGGAAGTATTTAGTAAACTCCCCAATTAGCTACACATCTAAACAATGCTTTTTCAAACTATATGGCTGTAAGCCAAATAATTTTAAGGTTGATACCACAGAGTTTTCCAGCCTAGTATTATCCTATTGATACTGGAATTCTACAACAAAGCAAAAAGAAAAAAAACAACAAACCTCCTTTTTCCAAACCCAATTGCAGTTTGCTAGGTAATTGGTTACCTTCCCATTATCAGCAAAAGTTTCTCAGCATTTGAAGAAGGAGCCATGCCATCTAATATTGCTCAGCTCCTTCCTAACTTGGACAATATTATTAGCAGGAACAGCTTTCAGCAGCAGAAATGTCAAGTCCTGCTTTGCCATAAAAACTCTCTTCTGAAAAGAAACCTGGGGATTTTTTGCAGGGAGACTTGGTTACATCTGTTTATAGCCTTGTCAGAAGACAGGGTTCACGCTTAGTTTGGGTAAGACCTCACAGTTTTCAGCTGCAGTAGGGCTACCCCACTGCCCTGCCATCTGGGAGGTTCACCAATAGCCGTGTGTCCTGTGCCACCTCACCCAAGTCGGACATCGAGGATGCTGTGAGAGATGAGAGAAAGCACCAGGCTGCGAAGATGGACTCTCAAAGCTGCTAGCAGTCCATATACATTAGATCAAGTTTTACAATGCTCTGATGCATACTGGAGAACTGGCCCATGGTACAGCTGGCTACAAGGGAGCACAAAGGCAGCTATGGACTGTCTTTGCAGCTTTTCTACCAGGCCTCTGCTGTGCATTTCTTTGTAACAACAAAGAACTCAGCTTACCAATTTCAGTCACTTCCAAGCCTTCAACTGCATTTAATTTAACTTTGACTGACTGAAAGTTGTAAATGACCGGACCTTAAATGACTGCATTGAAATAGGTGAAAGTTAACTGCTCATACAAGTCTTTAGAATGTGAATAAAAATAAGATATCCTAAAATCCTACATCCTTTTTATAAAATTCCCCGGGGGAAAAGAAAAAAAATAAAGTAATGTCATTCTCATTCTCTCCAATTTTGAAGGCACTTTCTCAATACAGTTAATTTCCAAATTCAAGCAGCAACCTGGTAACATGGTATTAAAAAAAAGTTGAGGCATGTATGCTCAGCTGCAATGCCTGTGTAACTAATTATGTGCTTGAGGGAACCAGCCCTACATCAGCTACATACAAAGGCTAAGCACGTTTCTGTGAAGGCAGGATAACACCTTGCTCTTATACTACCGTGCTCAAGCTGTTCCTGCCATATCAGGGCTGAAGGCTGCTGAGCAGACCATAATCTAGCAAAAGAAACAATGCAAGTAGTATTCCCGTGTGCCCAGGGACATGCAGAAGGACAGCGTGATAGCACTGAAGCAGGGCGCTTGAGAATTGCACCCTGTAGACTGTGCAAGGACTCTGCCAGCTGACTTACCAAGTCATATACAAGAAGCCCTTTCTTCTCTGCAGCTCTCTCTAAGCCAAGGTTTGATTATCTTTTACAGTCTCCACTATAGGGAAGTCCTTATCATATCCACCCGTCCATGAATCTAGGTATCTCCTATGATCTCCAGTCAATTCAGATAATAGCAAATGCTATTTTTACAGCTACATCTCCACCCAAAACTGAAACTCTGGCATTAACCTTCATACCTGTTTAATGACACTCAGCAATGCTGAGCACAGCTTGGGGCAGGAAGTGAACAGTACTGTATCTGGCTGAGGTTAATGATATAAAGAAAGTGACACTGAAGAAAAAGAAAAAAGTACGCTGTAAATAGCAACAGAAGCCGTATTTCAGCTGGGAGTGCCAGAAACTCTGCTCAGTTGGTTTCTTGTTGCACACCCAGCCAAGACCCAGTTACTCTCCATGTCTCCCACCTTGCACCTCATTTACAAGAAAAGGAAATCCAGATATGTAGGGTTGAAAGAGCCAGAACACAGTCAGCCCATGTCCCCAGGCTGGGGGACACTGCAGGAGCTGCTGCATGCCTTCCTTGGGTGAAAATCTAAAGTGGTGAGGAATTCACAAGGTTGCATATCTGAACAAATTTAATTCTTCTTCCCATCGTCTTCATTGTTTCATTTCTTCGTCTCTTCATTTAGAACAGCAAAGTGATAACAAAGTGATAGGAAGCCTTATAAATGTTTCTTTTTTCCTATCTATTGTTGGTAGGAATTAATAAATTTCCCTCTGTAGCAAAACCTTATTTTTCAATTTGACAATGAAAATTAAAGCAAGCAAAAGCTAGACATAGCAGATAATGTTAATAAAAATAACAATCTTCATTAACAAAAGCTTGTGACTTAAAACGGTAATTAGAACTCTTTAATTGATTTCTTTGAAATAGCTAATAAAAGAAATCGGCTGATTTTGTCCAGTGATAACTGAATGGAATGTAGAGAAGAAATCTAATTAGCAGTGATTTTATTAGAAAGTAGCACTTTTAGGAGTAAAATTTTCACCTTATGGAGACAAAATTCTCACTGACATCTCACTGGCATGTATAACTTCATGATCAAACTCCGCAGGATGTGTCTTTTTCAATCTACATAAAACAGACCGTTCTCCTTCCTTCCTGCTTCTCAAACATGGATCATTCCAATTCTTTACTCACAGGAGAAACCATACTGATTTCTGGAGTATCAAATATGGATTAATGTGCACTGCCTTAGGCCAGATCTTTGTGCAGCGCCTTAGGCCAGATCTTTCTTCACTAGAAGAGCTACTCTAAATTTCTTTGTGAAATATATCCTTTTCTTTCAGGAGGTTTCCAAGTCCTTCAACAGGTGAATTCTTGCAGGAGTCCTATCCTTCCTAGTCCAAGGATATATAGTCCTCTATAGCCCAGATGTAGAAAAGGGATTTGTAAAAGATTGAAAATCTGCATCTTGATCACTGGGACAATGATAGCACCTCCAGAAGTAAGCCTTCTTGCAAAGCCTGTGGTTTGCAGGTCATCCTGCTTGCAGCTGAAGGCAATGGCAAAGTGAAGAGGTGGACTTTGAACCACAGAATGGGGAAACGATCTCAACGCTTTTTCATCTGGGACACCTGCTTCTAAACTGTGACTGTCTCGGGCAAAGTCCTGCAAAGACCCCAGTGCCAATGGAAAAGTGCAGCATTCCACACTCAAGAAGAGGAGGCTGTGGTCCATACAGCTGACCTTAAAGCAAGGATAAGCTTGAGTTGTGCAGTAGGTATGGGCACTGGCAGCTGTAGCATCTTCAGAGAAGACACCTCTGGGAGGCAATCGGCTCCCACTCTTGGGATCCCACTAAACGCTGAACAAAGGAGGAACTGATGCCTCAAATGGCAATGAGATACTGATGCTCTGATGACTGATCACATAAATCTTTGAGAAGCAGCCAGTTGAGTTCCTACTGGCATTTTTAACCTCTAATTTGAGAGAGGATGTTACCATCTGGCACACTGCTTCTGAAAAGATTGCTACCTCCTGCTGTAGAGACTTATAAAACTCCCTCTAGAACTGTAAGAAGGTGCAATGAATAGCTCTGGAGCAGGTACATTCACCATGGCCCCAGGGCACCTGACTGAGGTCTTTGTTGACAGAGCTCACTGGAAAAAGCCTGGTGTGAGAATAAAAGACCAGCTGACCATCAGCAGGGAGCAGGTATCCTCTGAAAATTACCAACATGCATATGTCATCCTGCAGGCCAAACTGAAATAATCTGCCAGTGGAACATAAGCATCTCTTATAAAAAATAATGTTATTTAACAGACATCATAAAATAAACACATTATATTTCTATGAGGATAGTTTCAACTACCAGAAGCTCTTTCAAGGCTTTCTGACTGGAAGAGGAAAAATCTAGGAACTCTACTCTCTTCTGCCTTTTCAGTATTTATTCCAGCTAAAGGCTTTGTTGCATAGGCGTGGTAATGCTCTTCCAAAAAAGCTTAGAAAGCAGAGAGCGAATCTTCCATGGGAATTTTTTCCTCCAGGCTCTGCAAGAGGACATGCACTTTCAGTAGTAGCAGCAAGGTTGTAAGAGGAGTTTGGGCACGTGCATAAAGAGGAGAGGGAAACAGAATGGGGAGTGGTCCTGAATGGGCTTGGAGCCATTGTGCTCACACCTGAGCAAAAGACTCCTCTAAGCATTACCACACCAGCCAGAAATCACTTAGTATTATTACATGAAAAGAAAAAAAGAAAAAAAAAAAAAAAGCAAAGCATCAGTTAAGGACAACATTACCAGGATATTCAATATTTGTAAATCAACTGATCATAGAAGATTCAGGTGGATGGCTTTATAAATCAGCATAATCCCAAATCCAGGTAGGTTAAATGGTGAAAGGTGCAGATATATAACATCCCAAACTATAAACATCTGTAAGACCAGGCTTCCTGGGAAAAACATAAAAAGGGCCTCATACTGTATTTGCGTGTGTATTTTGTTAGTTTAAAGGCTCCTTCTCATTCTGGGGACACTGAGCTATAATCCTGACTTGGAAACAGCAATCTGGTACATCTGTCTTTTGCCTTAGCTGTCAGCAGCAGCAGTGGTTTTTTTGCAACTAGCCATGAGAGGACATGATCACTGCAGGTCAGTCCTGACCAATATTTGAACCTCAGGTAGGACTATCTCAGTGTGGTCTCTCTGTGACTCGTCAGCATTGGCAAGAGCAGGCTGCTAATCTCAGGAGAGTTAAATCAGTATTAGAGTATTTTCTAAATATATGACAATAGTCCTGAAGTATCACCAAGAATTGCAAGAATCACACGTGCACAAATAATGATGTTCCTGTTTCTATAAAGAAACCAATTTCCAGTTATGTAAGGTATTTCATTTTATATTCTTGGATTATTTTCTTAGTCATTAAGCATTTTAAAAAAATCCTACCAGCAAATGAGCAATTGTACGGTTTCATGGCCTCATTGAACTGCATTGTCTCATAGAGATAAAAATCCCATAACTCAGAAGTCTGTTTGCTGGCAAGATTAAGGAAAAAGAAATTCTTCCACAGAGGCAGCAATATTGAAGTTCAACTGCATTGAGACCACTACAGCAGCCTCTTACAGGCCCTCCAAGTGCTTCAGGACAGTCTCTGGAGAGGAAGGAGGGCAGACTCTGTGGACACCTGTATGTCCAAATCCCACTCGAGGAGCACTTTTTCTGCCACACCTACTGAATCTTGCTTTTCTTCTGCATAATAAAACCTTCTAGTTCCACTTAGACCTCAGCTCTCAGTCCCAAGAGCATGCTGTTTCTTTCTGGTAACCACCACAGAAGAAGGTTAAGGCTATTTTTCGCTGTTTAGTTTCCTCCGTAAGGGGATTTCCTCTACCAACAGAGGATGAGTTAAGTCCTTTGAGTCCTCCCTCGGTCTCTCCGCAGTACTGTATACTTAGGTAACCAGCACCTGAACATTCAGAAGCTGGTACAAGCCTCACAAGGCTCTCTCTCCATCAATATTCTTAGTGGCTATCTAAAAGAATAGATAAAACTCATACTTCATGGTACCCTGGGCTGTCAAGAATTTCTTGCCAAAATTCATGGTACCCTGGGCTGTCAAGAATTTCCTTGGATTCAAAAGCAAAATCTGTTAGCTTCCCCCAAAGTGCACTTTTTTTCCTGAAATATCCCACAACGATAGCCACTGATACGTTGAAATTAATTTAGATTTACAAAGGTGTAAAAAGAGAGGACAGTTTGGCCTGGGGAAAGTTTCTTCACATTCCAGAGGAAACATCTGTGGAGAAAAATGCTTGTTTCCTAGTTTATGAAGATTTGAAGAATTAATTGAAAATAAATCCAAAAGAAAAACATGCTTACATTTTTAACCAAATCTTTTTGTATTAAAGATTAAGCAGCACGCAGCACATTTTTTTATACAAACCTCTTCTTCTTCCCAGTCTATCAAGTCCCAGTCATAAGCAATTACTGCTCGCCTTCTTTTCCAAAACTCCAGAAAAACAGTTGCTGGAGCAAATAGAAAAAAAAATACAAAGTTGTTTTTAAGTCAAGAAAATATTAACTACTATCACAGAACTGTTGAATGAAGCTGTTACATTATTTTCATTTCTTTGCATAAATGGGTTCCTTTGAACAGCAAATCATGCTGATGATCAAAACTGCTTTCAAAAAGCATTGCTTTCTAAGGATTACTTTGCTTCCTTCAAGTATGATTGAGGCTTTAGAGATTTCATTTAGCGCTAAATGAGAATGTTTAATTTCTAACCAACCAAGGGAGGACTCTCAAAGAATAAAATTGCTCCCGTGAGTCATCATTACCAGATATAGCAGATTTCTGATGAAACTACAAGTTTCTTGGGGCTATTGTAGATAAAGCAGAAACACTCCTTCTTTGAAGACCATTTACAATACACAGAAGCCAGAACCCAGAAGCAGCACATTCCAGTGCATGTGCAAATCTGTAGACTACTACTGAGGAAATGGGAACTTTTGTCTTACACCTTCCTAATCCAGACCACTTCTTTTACACTACGTGAGTGTGTATATGCGGTGTGGCATTAACATCTGACAATTAAACACTCTGTGCTGTAGAGACCTTATCGACAGAGTTCAAGATAGTGTAATATGCCTGTACATGACTGTGCTTCCATTTTGTGATGGAAAGAACAATCAAGGAAGCACTCAGTCATAAAATAATATGTTCATATTCTGGAGATTAATACTGAGCCTGTTTGTGGTTATAGTTTTTTTTAATTTGTTTTGTTACAAGAATGTAGAAGCTGCCTAAAGCTAACACAAATCAATGGAAAGGCTTCCTCTCCCGCTGTGAGGTTTGGCTCTTCCCTTTATTGCTCACTGAAAAGCATCAGGCTGATAACCACAGAGAACATAAACCTCTTCGTTCATGACCTAACACAGTATCAGCTGTAAAAGTGTCACAATAGCCTGACAATATGTTCCACATCCAGTCCTAAAAGTATCTCCTTAATGGACTATCTGCCCTACTGCAGCATATTGATAAAGATGTGACATGATACTAAGCACTGGCATCAGTTTGGTGAAAGTGAATTTTTAGCCAGTAAGAATTATTGTATTTTAATATATTAGCCAATGCAGCTAAGATATGCTTAGAAAATGAACACTGTGAGCAGACAAGGTAAGATATCAAAAGCACGTTTAAGGAGGCAGCTATTTGGTTTGAAGGCATTTTCATGTATCACGTCATCCTTTTTCTGAAAGCTGGAGTTATGTTACACCAGATAACCAGCTGCTTTGATTTAATCTAATAAAGAAAGTAAATTCAATCTCCTGAGCCTAATGTTTCTACAATTTTTTTTAATAATTGCAGTATGATTGGTTGGGATCAGCAAAATTAGTAAGTGCTAATGAGGCTCCGCTGCTGCTGAACCACCACATTGTTCATTCCTTGACTTGTCTTTTGGTGGAGCTGCTTCTCTCCTAGCAGCTTATATTGAATTATTTTGTACAGGCTAAACAAGTAGCCCTGCACTTTTTGGAGACCTGGGAGAAACAAGCCTGATTGATTACTACCACTCTGATTATTACCACTCTGTTTCCATTCCAAAAAGCAGCTGGAAGCAGGACTCGAGTGGGTGTATGAATCCACAGCCATGAACCTTTCAGATATGTCTGTGCTGAACCATACTTCTTTTCTTTCTTGTTCTTCACACAACTGGAGTGAGGAATCTATACATATTATATTTAGTATATTTAGTACCTGTCAGAGTAAGTATGTGCAGTTCCTGAAGCTTCTTTAGAAAGCTATTTTCAAATCATTAAGTAGTAAATAGAATGGCTGTTTTAGCTTTTACTGTGCTACAATTTTCTCCCTCTATCCAGGTCAGTATGCACTTTTCCCTTGCTAGATATTTTAAAATGTGCTATAAATAACCATCTTTGATTGATTCACTGTACTACTGAGGTCTTCTAAAAAGTACTGCATTTTGAAATTTCTCTGCTTCTTTTCTAGTCAAGTAATCACTAATACCCTATATCACACTTCAGCATTCTTTTCTGACTTTTACAGCTCAACAGGACACGGTTGTACTTACCGTTCTCCCATTTTCCAATTGGTATGTTTAAACCGGATGCTGAGAATTCTCCAAAAATCCTGCTTGGAATTTTGAATTTCTCATTGGCCTTAACTCCCAGGTCTTTTGTTAGCTTTTTCTATACTATGCTTGCCCTGCTTCAGAGCTCAACCTTGCAGCTCAGTCCTCAACATCCACTTGTACAAACAGCTGTCTTAACATCATTTCCTCAGATGCTTTTGAAACAAGTTGTGATCTTATCTACTAATGCAAATGGCCTCTCGCTGCAAATAGCTTAATCCTGACCTTCCCTCAGAAATCCCCTCCCTATTGTATCTCAGAACACTATTTAATATATCCATGCTGATTTCTGGAATATATTCTATATACCAGGAATATTGCTGAAGAACCTCCTTAAATTCTGTCTTCTCAGAGAGCAGATCAATGTGAATGTTTTATGCTAGAGGCAAGGTTTGTAGGAAAGTAATATCTTTTATTAGACTAAATGATACATTTAGAAAAAAAATTTTATGTTGGCATTTCTTATTGCTTGAAAAAAGTGTTAAAATCTTCATGCCAGGCCTTTTTTCCCCTCCCAACTTTGCCTTTCAGGTTCAAAGGAAGTTCTAAAGCTACTTCCTTTATCAAAGGAAACATGCTTCTAGGTAGACAAGAAGAAATTTCAAAAAGGACTTTTCTTGTGTCCCTTAGTCCCCCAAAGATATGCAGAGACAGAGAAACTACCATCAGCCCACCTTGCTTCTAGCAAAGCATTAGAAATGATAAATAGCTGGACTCTCCTGTTGGACGGTTACAGAACTTTGCTACTGAGATTCAGGAAACATCTAGACAGTGACATCTTTGCCCTAGCTTTCCCCAGTACTTCAATTGGAAAAGCAAAAGCTACAATTCCATCTGGCTTTACAGCAACATGCTGGGAGTCAACTGATTATCAAATTTACCTAGATTTTTTTCTGAGAATGACTTTTTTCTGCACTTTAAATGTCAACGTTTATTTAAAATGAACATCTTTCTCTCTTCTTCTGTCTTTGGTAATAATCCAATTTGGACAGTACAGAGAGAGGAGTTTTTCCCAGAAATGGGGCCTACCTTTTCATCAAGCTCACCATATCTCAAGGCATACATAAAGGACAAAGTATAGGTGTTTCCCTCTAGCACAGAAACACAAAAAAATGCTATTGCTCCCCTCTTTTTGAAGGCTTTGAACATCTGGAAAATATCATCAAGACCAGAGATTCTCAAAAGGAAAAATTCTTTTCCAGCTTCTGAGATGACGACATCTCAGTGAGCATCAACGACAATCTGTTCATCAAAAAAATATTAATGTTTATAAGGACTTACTGTTTCCTATAAACCACAGAGATTTATAGCTTCAACCCTTCTGAAAGGGTTTTCCCTTTCAACAGAAGCTCCAATACAGAAAAGCTTATACAAACTACTAGTGAATTCCTTCAGTGTACTGAAGGGAGACTTTTGTCCTTTGCTACATCAGTTTAAAATGAAAGTTGTCTTAAGTCTTATGTCTTTTGGGTATACCTTAGTAAGTATTTTTTTTTTCCTATTATATCAATTACTTTTACTTCTTATATAAAACTTTGCTTAAACAGGGCAGAAATACAATAGGTGAGGTGATGGGTCAATATATTTTTTGAAGAAAAGTGTGTTTCTATGCCAATATCTCCTGGTGCACTTGACAATTCCAACCTTACTTTGATGGGACCCACTTATCCTGCAATGAAGCATTATAAAAGATGGGTCCCTGTGCTTCAGAGTCCTACAGCCAGGCTCATTGCTGCTCCACAAATCAAGCAGCCCATACTGATATTTGTCGTGGTAATTCCTCTCCCTAGCCCGGCCACAGCAGTTTGCTCATCATTTGGAGGAGCATTTTATTTCTACTTAAAAAGTGAGCAATCCACTTTGTCCATCAGTTAAAGATGTCTTTAGAGTAAAAGGAGGAAACCACCATACAGATCACCTCTTCGGGGGAAGTCCAACCTGACCACACCTGGTTTTGAAAACCCCAAGCAAATGGCTGAGGCTTCTCCCTCAAGATGGAAGTTAACTAATGGATCTAAAGACAGTGAAGAAGGTACTTTAGATAATAAGACAGCAGCTAAGCTCAGGCTAAAGTGGTAACACAATTCTAGCTGCCTTTTTTTGCTTTCATTCTCTTTTTTTAAAAGCACTCCCATCATTATTTTATATGCTAGTGTCTGTCAAACTGGATCATCTAGAGGGCTGAACTTTTCACAGTGAATTTGTCATGCACTTGCCAGTTGTTTCATGCTGACAGAAAAAATATTTCCACAATCAAACTGCTATCATTGTTTCTTCTCTTCCCCTACAATTTACTGAGATGATGGTAATGCCTGCAGCTGCCAACAGGCCTACTGCAGACCGAAAATCCATTTAAGACAGGCAGTAAGCCAACTCATAAATACAGTACCAGAAAATCCCTGGGAAGTGTTGCTTTCCTTGTTCTAATGCTGCTTTAGCCTTAACTGTATGGAAAATATCTCCACAATCTCACTGTTGTCTCAGCAAAGTCTTATTTAAGAAACTACAGTTTGGGTGGAGCCATAGGATCACCCCATTCCCCAAACCATTACCCTGCACTCACAACCTCCTTCCTGTTGCTGCTCCTACATCCCTCCTGGTGGCAAGCTCACAAGCACAGTGTAAGCCAAGAAAAGCGGTGGGGAAGGCTCTCACCCCAGCCACTGTCCTATAGTCTCTTCTCAACTAGCCAAATCATCCAGAGGACAGCATTTATTATATTTTTTCTTATCTCTCTGTGGGCTTAGGTGCTGGAAATGCATGGATGGGCAGTGCATTTCCCAGTCCTGACAGGCTGGTGGGGAGATATCCCCAGAGGGAACTGGGTCTGGGAGTCTGACAGTGATGCTGAAGGAGGGGGAGGAAGGAGAAGCTAACCAAACTGAGGTGCAGCTCCTCTCAACTAGGGACAGGAAAGAGAGAGGACTTACAACATTTTGTAGGCAGGCATGCTCAGCCTGCTCAGCCTTCTCCCAGACAGCGACCACAAGGCAGGACCAGGCATGGTTACCTGAATGAAGGACTCCCCTTACCTAGAGCTGCTTTTCCTACAGCCTTGGTTCTGGGCAGTGCTAAGACACAGGTGCAATGCTGTGAGCACAGCTGCTTCCTGAAAGCAGTGTTACTGTTAAGGAGGAGCAAAAGCACTGGCACAAAAAGCTGCACTCCAAAGACATGCTCACCAGCAGTTAGGAACAGTGACATACACGTTCAACAATGTTAACCCATCAATTTTCCTAGCTGAGATGGAAATCCCTGCCTCTAAACTGTCTTGGAAATTCTCAACTTCAGTGAGCACATAGAGAAAGAGGTTGGAAAAGCTGAGTAAACATCTAAAAAAATCTTTAAAACTTAGAAATTTTTGGTGATTCTTAGCTCTGGTGTAGCTCCAAAACAAAGCTGAAATACCAAGGAGAAACACAAAATCTGTACTATCTGTGGATTTTTTCCTTAATGTAATTTGTGGTATTTTAATACCATCAATGCTACATGAAATGGCATGAATAGGCTTGATCGGTATATGACCTAATTTAATCAGTTAACTAAGACAAACGCATAGTTTTGGAGGAAGGAACTGAGACAGACTGGTAGGCTAATCTATGTTGTCCTGATGGCGCTGATGTTGCCTCCTGGGTATCTCCTGTGGCTCGGTAAAGAGATTTGCAGTTTAAAATGGAGATTATAAGAATTACTTGGACACCTTTCCAAAGCAGTTGGAGATGTGTGAGTAAGAACAGGAGAACAATGGCTAAATCAGGATAGCTCAAGCACCCGGAGCTGTGAGATGGATGTCATTTTTGAGGCACCTCATTGAGCCATTTTCTAAAGGTGTTAACCTTCTCTCAGAACGGCATGGTAGCAGCTAAGAGCCTGGGCATGCTCAGGGCATGTTTGAAAGATTTTTTTGTGCTGCCAGAAATTATTGTTTCCTCTTGCCTTCAATTCTGCCTACAAGACCACAGTAGGAAAAATAGTTGAGCCAGAAATAGAACTGTCCTATGGCAAAATTCTGCCTCCATGGCAACAGTTAGACCACTCGCGGATCAATTTGTCATTCAAATAAATCTTCCATTTATTCCGCCAGAGTTTTGCTTCAATTACAACCAGCTTACATGTATTTAAGCTTTACTGCCTTTCTGCAAGGTAGGAAAAACAATACATTAATTCATTTTAGTACAGACACTAAACTGAGCTGCCCTAAGCTAAGAGGAGCCCTGAACAGTAACAGAGAAAAGGCCTCAGTGCCAACAGATTGAAAAACAATTACAAAAACCCCCAGAATATAACTATCTACATAGACACTACACACTGCATTCATGCTTTTAATTAAAATTATCACATCAAAAACTGATTTCAACCACTTCCATCTTCCTTTTGCAGAAACAGAAAAGAATCAAGCCCATATTGTTTTTCTTGGTGTCTGAAAAAAGTGTGCTGGAAATTACAAAGGCCTATGTTGCATCACAATCTTTAAGAAAAAGATTGTGCAATTACTTACTATCAAAACAAAAACTTACCCCACACCGCCATGAAAACAGCAAAAAAGACAGTAGCTCCATTGTCAAAAAGGTGGGTTACCTGAGGGATATATTAATAGTGCAATCAATTTATGATAATAAGGCTTTATTTTCTATTTTCACCTAATAAAATTAATGTGATTGTGAGTGCAGCTGGCCTGACAATCCTGAGGATCCTTCCCTTGACGTGTGAAATGCACCTGTCAATTGACAGGACTATTTGCCAGCCTGGCCTGGGACTGACCCCTGCCAACACCAGGTGTGAGCATTGTTTCAGACCCAAAGCATTCATTTTATGGAGCCACATACAAAGGATGAATCATAAGATAAAGGTTGATGCCAAGGACACCATAGCACATGCATCTAGGACACAACATCTGGGATTGCTGAATCTCTAAGTGCAAATTGCATTCAAGTATTTTACAACCCGAACTAAGTCCTGGTAAAAGACAATGAATGTTAATATTGGCTGAACTTGATCTGTCCTTTCAAGATTTTATCTACCCAAGCTCACTAAAGACAAATGCAAAAGGCAAAATTAATGCTTTTACCAGGAAAGCATTTCTATTTGCATAGTTTAAAATGTACCTTGGCATAAACGCAGCTGTCCGACAACCTCATGAAGGGACAATATTTATCACATATAGGACACATTATGATATCTGTAGCTTGGCAGACTTCTTTACTGGAAAAATAGAAAAGATAAAAATTAATAGTTTGATGCACAACAATCAGTCTTAAAATGGATTGATAAGTTTCACTAATATTCAGTTACTTATTGAACAATACTGGTTCTGTAACTGAAGCCAAGATGTTCATAACTGCATGTGTATAATTAATATTTGTTGACTGTCTAAGACTTCAGAATTTACAGTCATAACTGCAGAGGACAGTTCTTCAGGGCCAGCCTAGCAGTACCTCTTTACCATTTCCAGCTTCTCCTTGAGTCAGAAGTGACCATTGGTAGGAGGAGGGTGAGGATGACTGCAGATAAAGTTAAGTTTGACTTATTCTTGTGACTTGTCTTAAGTGTGCAAGAACATAGAGATGCAGCACTCAGCAGAAGTTCCAGGGGGTTCTTCATCTGAAGAATGCCTCCCTGTGGTGGATCTTTGGGAAAGGCCTTGAAGAGAGTGAAAATTCCTCACTCTTCTGCTGGCCTGTTACAACAGTAATGAAGGAGCCCTACTTTTTCCCTACTTCATGCTGAGTTGCCAGCACCATCAGCAACTGCAGCTGGGCAAGAAACATTGCCTCCCATCCCAATTCAGGAGCACAAAACAAGGGAAGCTCGATACTGGGTACCTTACGAGAACCAAGCACAGTCTTTTCCTGAGTATTCATTCAAGAATTCAAAATGAAATAATTAACAATTCATATGAAGATCTCTTAAATTATTCATAATAACCCCCAGCTGTAATTTCCCTTATAAAAGTGCCCACATTACCTGACTTGGCAGTGGTTCAGAGTGGTGACTCCATACAAAAAGACAAACAATCCAATGAAGGCAGCTGGGAAGAGCATCCCCGTGTACCAGCCTAACCAGGCAAAGTACAGCCCAATTTTCTCACCAAAGTACCGTCTGTTTTAAAACACAACACAGCCAAGTTACCTGCTAATTAGAATAAATTTGCTTAATCTTGCTTGTTAATAGAAAATAAATATTCCTATCATAGCTGAAGAGTAGATTAGAGAGCAGAGTTGTATTTCCTGAAGAAAAAGCCTGCAACTAGGCTTCTAAATCCACACTGAGGGATCTGCCTCATGAATGAACTTAAATGAATTTAAACATTCACTAACCACAGTTTACAGTGAGATGAGTGGAGACCTCAGAAAGGAAACACTGAGTTCATTTAAAAAAGCTAGTTCTTTGTGTTTGAGAAACTGATGGCTTTCTTTGCCTTTTGGCTGTGTAACTGTACTTCCCAAATAATTGCACTGAAATCAGTTTCATCCCTAAAACGGGTATAACAGCAAAAATGATTTGGGCCCAAATTATTTCTAAGAAATGAATTAACCAGAAGTTATTCTCCAATCCAGTTTATTTTCATTCGATTATTTTCTTAGCTCAGTTCCTGGAAAACTAATCTCATGATTCTACACACAGGTGGAAAGTAAAGTGCAAGTGAGGTCCAACAAATATCTTTATATATCATCTTGCACTGATTTGAGGAAAATAGTCTGAATTAATCCTAATTTGTTAGCTATATTGCTTAAAAACTAACAGCAAAGTGGCCAGGAAGCTCCTATTTGCTACATATTCATTAGCATTTTTCCTCCTCCCAAACACAACCTTTATTTATGTGTTGAAGAATACATACGAGCACACAAAAACCTGCTGAACTCATCACCACAGGAGCAGGCTGCATGCATTGTCCTGTGTTTGATGGTCTTGTGCACAGCAGGCTGATGATCAGATTAGGATGCTTTACAAATCAATATGCAATTATCATGATTACAATGAAGATTTTAGGAGATTATTTGCAAGATTAGTTTTAAAGAATGAGGCAAGATGATATTCTTACACTTCAGAGACTTTGCAGACAACTTAAACTTGTCTATCAACTGAATTTGAGAATAGCTGCTGATGAAAACCCACTTTTATGTTAATGATGAAACTTCTGATCTGTCCGGAGACAAAGAATGCAGTGAGCCAGCACTGCTGGCTTCTTTATGCTACCAGAAAACATCTTTGGTCAAACTTTCACAGTGAGGAGGAAAAGACCCATGATGGCCTCTGGGGCTGGAGACAGTGGAGAAGAGAAAGAAACACTTGGTCTGGAATAGACAAAATCATCAGTTTTCAAATGGATATCAAAAATTTCCAGCATGAGCAATATCCGTCCGGGCTGAGCTCATGGTCTGCTGTATGATAGTGACCTACACTGATGATTAACATTTGAGTTTACCAGCAGTGTATGAGAAGCCAAATATTGTCATGTTGTTTTCATTCTTCTGTCATTCAACAGAGACTCAAATTTACAGGCTAAAGAGGTGGTAAGCTAACGATAACATGCTCAGTTCTGACAAGGGCAGCAGGTCTGGTTGTCAAAAGACACACTGGAAACTACATTTTGAGCCCTGACTTAAGAGTGTTAGTGAACCCTTTGGCCTAATTATTTTCCTGACACCTAGGATGTCAAGCTGTGCCTGCTCCACTGAAAAAGCAAGCTCACATTTTGAGCTTACTTCCACTGAATATTTATGACCTATTTTTCTCCATGTACATAGTTCAAAGTAGTGAAGTAAACCTAACATTCATCAAGATCTATTTTTTTATTTCATTCCCTACATTCAAGGATGAATGCTTCCTCGTTCCACCCCCCTAGCTGACAAACATTCATGACAAATTTCATCGCCTATCCTGTTGAGCTTTTCCATCTAATGGTGCAAATCACAGTACTCTTTTTTGATCTAGAGATCAAACAGCTTCATCCTAGATGAAGACCCAAGCAAGGTTCAGTGGGTGCATAAAGAAGAATGGACTTGATGGGGAGCAACCCAAATCTCTGCAATGTAAGGAAAAGGCATCTGAGGCCATTTGTGAGCCTGGTTTTAAAAATAAGTGCAGGATGTTGACATTACTTTGATACATATTGGTTTAAACATGGACAAACAGCCTTGATCTTCCACTATTGCCCTTCACTTCACAGCTGGTATTCCACAGGCTGTACTACTGCAATTTCCATCAGGGTCAAGTTAATATTTCATTTCTTCTGGCCCCATAGTTAGCATATTTTTTCTGTAAGTCTCTGCTCAGATACCACTAGGTTGAGTGCTATACAAACAAACTATAGCAGTTACAAGGTCTTTGGAGACCTTCCTATGTGCCATATTCAGAGCAGTTCCACATTTATTCCAATCCATAATTGGGTTAAGCCCAGACCATCATGACCCTCAGGAGATGAAGATGGTTTAGAGATACCTTTGCCACTCTTTCCCTTCAAGTTGCACCAAATAGGAGGAACAAGCTCTTTCTTTCTTCTCTGTCACTATATATAGAACAGACATTTCATCTAGCTCTCCACAGTGATGGTAGTTCTCTTACCGACATGCTGGCACTTTAGCCAGAACTCAGTAATGTACATGAAGAATTCCAGGGATTTTTTTCTAGGGTGCATCACTGTTCATTATGTATACCTAAATTTCACCTGTTATCACTCTGCTCATTGAAGGCCTCTCTGAAATTTTCCAGCCTTGATAATGTTTGCATTTTTGTTAACTTTGCTAACTTATTACCATCCAATTTTTCAGATTGTTAGTAAGAATAGAAAATGTAATTTTCTTTTTACATTTACATTTAATGTAAACATGGAGTAAAATGCAAGTTACTCAGGAATTACTTTTGCTTTTAGGTTCATTTAGGTAGCTTTACAATCACTTTATAAATATAGTTTTCTCCCTCCCTTTTTGTGCTGTAAATAACATGCGCAAGCAGCAGCAGGAGCAATTTGTGCACAACCTAGAGGAAAGCAGCTATGCACAGAAGTGTGAAGGAGGTGATCCAAAGTCCCCAGGAATCACTGCAACTGTTTCCATTGATTTATGTGGTCCCAGAGCATATAAATATAGTAAGTCCTGCCTCTTTCCAATTGCTATCAATTCTAAGGATCTTAAATTATTCTTGTAAAGTAGCTATGGAGGCTAAATTCCAACAGAAGTGTAATTAAAATCATGGTACCACATCTGTTGATTAGTAAGAGTGTTTTTGCAATTGTGCCAAATCTGCGCCTTCATACTGCCACGTGCTTCAAAGCAGAGTGAAAGCAGAATCATGCAATTCCCCTCAAATGACTTTTTCTCATTTATTTCTAGTGACTAGTATCTCCATAACAGCCAGCTGATGAGATTAAATGAAATCTGGGAGGCACCAAATTGACAGCACCAGAGATGTAAGGCCTCATTTTAACAGCGAAGGAAAAAATAAAACAGCACCAAAGTATGAACAATTTCACTTACCATTGTGACAACTTGACTTTAAGGTGGAAATACCATATCTATTAATGAGATAATTATATTATCTACATCTAATTTACTACTTAGCCTTTCTAAATCATATGGTGAAGGGCAATGTCAGCTAGCAGCAGTAAGTTCTGGCCAGATGTCTATGGAAGAATTAACATCCATCCACTTCTTTTATACAGATGGCAGCACTACTCCCTTCAAGCACACCCCACATAGCTGTTGGTATGGGAAACAAATAAAACAGTTGCTTCTGCTGCAGAACTGGTACTAGAAAAGCTTCTGTTTAATGTATGCATGCTGAGATACTTCTGAATGAAATGAACAACAGGTCTTGCTGGTGTTGTCAGATCTTCAAGGAAAAATCTCCAGTTCACTAGTCACGTTAGCTGCCAAGAGTGGCAGTAGACAGGAAAGATTTGGCAGGAGCTGAGGAAATGTGAGGGATTTAGTGTCTGTGAAGTGAGAAGAAAAAGGCATTCCCTCCCCTTTCCCGTCACCCCTCCTTCAGTGAATTCATTGCAGCCATGGGTGCGCTCCAGGCAGCAAACGGCAGGCTGGGCTGGGGCTGCAACTTTGAACCCTGCTGAGCTTGATGGCTGCCGAGACTCATGCTGCTGTGAATGCTCAGGGAGCCTCACAGCTTCCCCCTGCCCCCCTCCTCTTTGGGTAAACACCTACTCTGAACCACCACAGGACACCCATGACCTCAGTTAGGGGATCTGCTATTTTGATTGCTTTTTTCCTTTTGTAAAATAGCTGTGGAAAAATCTGTGGATGTCACTGTCTGATAAAAAGCTAAAGCATCTTAGGAAATCTTAAACATCAAACCCAGGCTACTCAAGATGGCTGCTATCAAGGTCCAGAACAATCATGTGTCTAACCTTGCTCATTCTATTAACATTTGTTCTCATAATTAAAAAACCTTCCAGATGCCTGATGGTCCATATTCATAAACCAAATTAAACCAAAACCCAGATATTTGCTCAACAGCACTTTCACAAACAAGAAATGTTGATGAAGAACAGTAGCCTTGACCACCATGGAGAAATGATTAAAAAACATGATAGAGATAAGTTGTTCATACTGTGACATTAAAGTCTTATTGTATACTGGGAAATTAAAAATAATAAACTTCAGTATAACTGTTGGCTCCTCAGTAAATCAGTAATTTCCATAGTGTAATTTGAGAAAAATTCCATATTTCTGTCCAGACCAGTATATTAAAACAGAAGTAAGAAGTTTTCAGGATTAAATTATGAGGTACAAATACATTACTTTGTTTTCTAAAGCTTTTTAAAAATTACATGACTCAGTAAAATTTTTTAATTGTATTTCTCTGTGAACTTTTTCTCCATGGAAATCGAACACCCCCTGTTTTATGAAATGGATAGGTTTTATACGGCTTTAATCAATAACACTGTCTGTCTCCACAGCCACCCTCTGCAAATCTTTCTATCTGGAAACAATTCTGAGAATCAATAAAAGTAAAGGTTTCTATCAGTTACAGGACTTATAAAAGGGGAAATTAATATGCTGGACCAATTGCGTGCTCTGTATGACCCTTCCCAATGGCCAACGTATCAATATCTTCAGTGATCCCAATACATCTAAAGACTTTATTAATAGGCCCTTGTAGCTTCATATTCCTCTCTTCAACTAGAAAAAGCCTGTTAATGCCCAATAATAGTTCTGCCAACATGAACAGTAAAGGCTCTGGCTCTCTATATATGCATAAAAAATGTGTAATCCTCTATTAGCGCATGCAAGCCTATTTGAAAACATTATTTAAAAGGGCTATAAGAATTTGGAGTCATGTCTCAGCCTTCTCAGTGTTTCTTCTTGCAGGGTACTTCCAAGATGAATACAAATCCAGACTGTGGTGATGTGGCTGGGCTGAGTTTAAGGGAGGTGGTACAGGAGAGACTTCCACCCATTTACTGCTAGGGCTGCTGAACACAGTAGCACACTCAGTGACTGTGAGCTCTGCTCCATGCAATTTGTAAGCATCACTAAACTTCACCCAGGGCTCCTTCTGTGGTTGCTTTTTGGAAAAATGAAGATGACCTAGTTAATGAGAGCCTGTTTTTCACCAAAGCCATGCTCTGAGGAGGAAGAACAACTCCTCCAGTGGATAGACATGCAACCAAGTCTACCCAGCCTCCACAGATTTCTCTCTTAAATATTCTGCAAACTCTTCATTAGAAGTTATGGTGTCAGGAAACTCTAGAAGGAAACTTCCTTCACTTTCAGCTCCTCCTACAATTCCTCTATAGATACTTCTTTGAATGTAGTGGCACCGTGAATGAAATGGATTCCCATGACCTCAGGATCAGTTTTTAAAAACCACATGAATTATCTGAGCTTTTCATGGTTTTGTCAGAAGAGAGATAACCTATGCTCAAAGCACCTATAATGTGACATACTAAAAGCAGGAAAGTCTTACCTCACGAGGTCCAGTGGTTGGTATTTATACCACACTCCCCAGGAAGCCCAGCACTCATAGAGCAGGTGTCTGTGGTTTTCTGCCCCGTGGGTCCTTATTGAATTCTTACTTCTGTAACTTCCCTAAAATACAAATCTGAACATTAATGAACAACAGCAGCAAAACAGAATATCTAAGAAATCTCTCTCACTAGCAGTATGGATCACACAATTTATGCAAACTCCATACTTGTGCACCAAAAGCTAAATATAACATTAAAAGGACAATTTCTTCTGACTTCAGTAAGATTTGAGACTATTCTTCCTAAGAAATTTATGATAAATGGTGTTCAAGTCAAAGGCTATAAACTGGAGAATCTCAAAGAGAAAACCACAGCATGGTATTTTTCATGGTATTTTTCTCTGAAAACATACTGATTTATCAAACCCAAATACTTTTTACAGACCAGATCCAGAACAACTCTCCTTACTCATCTCTTTTTGCAAGAAAAAAAGCATTTTTTTTCCAAGAAAAAAGCATTACTAAATGGGAGGGCTGTCAGGGGCAGACGCAGAAAGCAAAAGAGAGTAATAACATTAATAAGATTGAGAATAAATGGTTACACAATTAAGAATTCATTTTGTGGGAAATGTCTGTTCAAAAAGAAAAAAAAACTGAGAAAAATACCTCATGAAGAGGAAATGCAGCTTCATAGGAGCCATTACTGAGCAATCGATTCAGACCTAAGAATCAAAAGTATCCAATTATTTACCAATAGGACCAGAAAAACTGCTAAGTAAAAAGCAAAACATTTTCATAATAAGCTGGCTAAATGAAGTTTGAAGCCCATTGACAGTAAAAGATATATGTAGAAAAATTAATCTTTTATAGATTTTGATGAACTAAGATATAATACAAGCAAAGACTTGTTCAAATATTAATCATAATCTATCATTTATTATGCTGGAGGTTTAAAGATTCATTTGCTAAATTCCTCTTTAGCGTAACTTCAGTGAAATCAGGGACCTCACACCAGGACTGAAGTTTGACCTCATAAATTATGGTCTGAGGAAGCTATTTAGATGAAAGGCTCTATTTCTTGGGAGCTGAAAACTTCAGGGAAGATCTTTACATTTTTGAACCGCAGGCCAGTAAAGCAACTGAAATTCTTAATTTCCATATGCTAACAAGGTTTTAAAATATGTTCAGTTTATTTCTTAAGAAAGCTGCTGGACTAACAGATAGAACAGAAACAAGACAGGCTGCAGTAGTACAAGACCAGAAAATATACTTGAACCGGAACCAAAAGGATTGCTATTTGGCACAAAAAAGTAATCATACACCCCACTCAGTCAGGCGTTGTCCCTCTTTAATGAGAACCTTAAGAGAAATAATGAATGATTGCTGAGATGTGGGCACTTCTCACTTGGAAAGTCACCAAAATAGCACTGAACAACATCAGGCAATGCAAAACTAAATACTAACACTAACAACCTGAAGGCATTTGAACCCCATTGACCAAGAGGCAAGGAATCCTGATTCCTTTCCTAATTCACAGGGGAATGATAGAACACAGAAATGAGAAGTATTAATTCAACATAAATAGCACTTTCAGTGACTGCATTAGTATCTGCTTGGCAGAATATGCTTTCTTCCAAAGTATCTGGCAGAAAAGCAAAGCCTGTACAACTGAGCCAGGCTTTGCTCTGCCCAGTGATCAATGCAAGGTTGTGTTCATGGTAGGTATAACACAAACAGATATGTGAGGGAGCTTGGGATCTTGAGGCAGGCAGGGACTGCAAGTGTGTGTGCTAGATGCAATGGCTGCATGCACCGCATGAATTCTTCCCTTTCTTCTCTCCCCTCTGCTCACTGTCATTGCTCAGACCTATTGCTGCCCTCATCCCAGGAGCTGAGGAAGAAACAAGTGAAGTTCTGGGATGTTTCTCTACCTCTTGAGGAAGGACAGGGTTTAAACAGCAGGGAGATGAAATAGGCTGCAGCGTTTTATGGGGATTGCCTCTCCATTTGTGATGCCCCAGTCTCTATGTGATACACAAGCAGTACATGCTCTGTATCACAAGATGGAAGACGGCCACTGTTTTGTATTCCAGCCCTCCTGTGTCACTGCCTGCTCTCCTGGATCCGCATATGTGCCACTCCAAAGGTCCACTCCACCCGCGATTTGAGAGTGATGCCATAGTTATGCATGGCATCCTTTGCACTGAGGACATCATTGGTGGACTCCCTTTTGACTTACAGCAGCTGCAGAGATACAGAACCTTCCATCTCCCTTAGGGATGGACAGGTATCAGGGAGAAGCCCTACAGGTTGAGATGTACTGCAGCACAAATCTTGCCATCCTTCCAAATACATTTTTATGAAGGAGTAAAAGCTTTTCTGCATGAGTCTATCTGCTTCTCCAGGGTTCTTAATCTGTACATATTTCTTGCTTAAGTCAGTCTTTTTCCTTGCAGAGGTGATAAATCCCATGTGGTGACATATGTGCCTGTGAAAGCAGCCTGGTATTAGAGGGAAATGATCAGGTCTTCCAGACAAAGCCTCTACAACAGCAGTGGGTGAGATGTAAACAGCTCAAAACTGAGGTGATTAAAAAGGAAGCAAAAGAGTCTGTTATGAGCCCAGGCATACTTCTCCTCTTCTTTTGGTGGGACTTAGCACCCACTTTTAAAAGCATGTTGCTCAGCACTTACCAATTTTGTTTTTCCCTTCTTCGTATTTCACTCTTTGTAAGATATGGTGTACAATTCTACTTCTTGTAGCATTATTGAAGAAAGTATCTTTGTTGTGTATGATGAAGCTATATAAAAATACAAACAAAGGGCATCTCAGGAATATATAGAAGCATGTTTAAAGCAAATACTGAGTTCCATTACTTTCTATAGCACACTAAAAATCTCCAGTATGTCAGCAAGTGCAAGGAAGATTAAAGGACACCAGATTAAGTGAGATGATTCGCCGGATGAGATGATGTCAGTAACAGTATTTATTCCCTAACAAAGAATTACATGGAGAAGTCTGGAGAAAGATCAAAGATATTTAAGCATTCATTATGATAAGCATCACTTTTAGATAATTGACTGAAAACTACAAAATACTTGCACAAAAATTTGCAAAAGCATAAGGTTTGTAAGTGCAGCTGTAGAAAAACACATTTGATTTCTATTTCAGGTTTCTTTATTATGCTTTACCATTAAGAGTCAGATGAAAACATCTACTTGGTAAACCACTCTTACTGAAAATCAAATACTATGTTAGAAATGGAAAATACTATACGCTCCTATGGTCCTGGAAGCTAAAATAGAGTAGAAAATTAGCTTTCAGAAGCTACTTATGGAGTTATGTATGTATGCAGATTCAATAGTTTAGACAGAATTCTGAGGAGCCCAGGAAATTTAAGAAAAAAAAAGCCACAAAATATATTGTATTGATTAGAGTGGCTGGTGTAATATATTTATATAGATTTCTTAATCCCAATATACATACACAAGGAAAACAAGGTATTTTAGCATATCATCATAATCACTGGAAAAATGCAAACAATATAAGTGTTTAGAAATACTGTTTCAACTTGTCAGTTAAATATTGCTAAAGAATTCCTACAGTTGCTTGAGGCGTGTAGGGCTTCAGGATAGACTGTGAAAGTCATTTAGACACTTGAATAAGCAGATAAGTGGATAGAATTTCTGATTAAGTAGGCCTGTGCATATATTGAGGAAATTAAATATTTTTTAAAATGTGGTCCTTAGTAACTGACTGAATAGAAGGGTTGATATTTTTTAAAATACTTTGGATAGGAGGTCAGATTGTTTTCCCCCTCTGTGTTGGTGAAGAGCTAGGGAATTGAATAAACTGATAAAAAAAATGGTAAAATGATAGAGACGTCATAGAGAGACCAGCCTATAGGACTGCACGCTAGACAAATCTGACTTCAACAGAGATCATCTTAATAGGGAGCTTGGAATGGATTTATGTCACCTTCTCTTCTGCACAACATGGGATCCACTGCTCAGTTTTCCCCTCAGGTAATTTTACCCAAATAAAACCCTGTTTTTTCAGAATGACTCTTTACCCATGGGAAATCATATATGGCTTTGCACCACCACAGTCATTTGGAAAAACAGGCAAGGAGTCCAACTTCTGGACTTCGGGCACTCCATGTGCTCCCTCTTTATTATCAAAATTCTCTGCCAAATTTTCCATATGAGACAATCTAGAAGTTCCTTTTGTTCAACCCCATGCAACGCTACAGGCCTGGGGAAGAGTGGCTGGAAAGCTGCCCAGTGGAAAAGGACCTGGGGGTGTTGGTTGACAGCCGGCTGAACATGAGCCGGCAGTGTGCCCAGGCGGCCAAGAACGCCAATGGCATCCTGGCCTGTATCAGAAATAGTGTGGCCAGCAGGAGTAGGGGAGTGATCGTGCCCCTGTACTCGGCACTGGTGAGGCCGCACCTCGTATACTGTGTTCAGTTTTGGGCCCCTCACTACAAGAAGGACGTTGAGGTGCTGGAGCGTGTCCAGAGAAGGGCAACGAAGCTGGTGAAGGGTCTAGAGAACAGGTCCTATGAGGAGCGGCTGAGGGAACTGGGGTTGTTTAGTCTGGAGAAAAGGAGGCTCAGGTGAGACCTCATCGTTCTCTACAACTACCTGAAAGGAGGTTTTGGCGAGGTGGGTGTTGGTCTCTTCTCCCAAGTAACTAGCGATAGGACGAGAGGAAATGGCCTCAAGTTGCGCCAGGGGAGGCTTAGATTGGACATGAGGAAAAATTTCTTTACTGAAAGAGTGGTTAAACGTTGGAACAGGCTGCCCAGGGAAGGGGGTGAGTCCCCATCCCTGGAGGGATTTAAAAGATGTGTAGATGAGGCGCTTAGGGACATGGTTTAGTGGGCATGGTGGTGTTGGGTTGACGGTTGGACTTGATGATCTTAGAGGTCTTTTCCAACCTTAATGATTCTATGATTCTATGATTCAGCTTCAAAGACAGATAATAAAAAGAATCCCAAAGTAAAGGTATAAAAGACAAGTTGCTCCAAGAGCACCATAATTAATGAAACCTGGTTTTCTAGAGGTTACTATCTCATGTCTCCTTTCCCACTCCACCCCAGATACTCACAGGTCATTTCTGTGTCCACAACCTACTCAGTACTGTGCTTCTGGTTTCCTCCCACATCCCTACTATTCCCAAAGTCCTACACATGCCCTACAGTACCTATTGAAAGTAATTTGATTTAGGCATATTGGCTGACCACCATGTGCGTTCCGATTTACCAATGGGCTGCTACCAGACAGCATATACAACTGGTGTGCACTGCCTTTTCTGTAGAGGCACAACTTTGGGCCCCTATTCCATTTCAAGCTGCTGATACTCACAAAGTAAATAAGACTGTGCTTATCTTTGAGACAGCTACACCTGTACCAAATTTAGTTGAAAGTAATCAGTATGTAAAATAATAATTATTAGAAGGACTTTGATAAAAACAAAATACTGTCATCACAACATAAGTCTTAATGCTTAAGGAAATTAGATAAAAAACCAATCTAAACTCTGAAGCAGATAGAACAGCATTATTTTCAGCTGAAGCTGGAGCTCTCTATTAGGCTGTTTTAGTAGCAGCAGATACAAATTAAAAGACAGTAGTAAAACAGAAATGAACAGTTAGTGTTTTTCCCACTTTGTTTCATTTTCTTTTAATATCTGACTTTCCTCTCCAAGATCTCACCTCCCAGAGAGCACTGAATGTTAAAGAACTGTGAAGATAACTTATGAAATCAAAACAGCACAGTAATTTTCATTCTGACTTAGCTATGAGTTCTTGCAGGATTCAACTGGGAACTGAATCACATTATCTGGGAAAATAGCAACATTGATCCAGGTAACACCAATAATGTTAATCTATTGTTCTTGTGATATAAGGTTATTTTGCCCATCTGTTATCATGACTATGTCATACTGAAACTACAGGTAGTTATTTCAACAACTTTTTTTGACAAGTAGGTTAATACTTTTTCTGCATTTAGTCACTTCTGTTTTCATGAATCATGAATGAAAAAAAGGCAAAAATCAAACATTATGCAATCTTAAAAAGAAATAAGAACTACTTGTTTAAATAAACACTTTAGTCATTTGCATTCATTTGTAAACTTAGCAACTGTGTTGTTATAGCTTTTGATTTCATGTGGCTGAGAAGGAACAACCAGATGTGTCTGTGAAGCAGATGTCAACACCTCAGTATATTAACTGCCATGAAGAACTCTACCTATTCGAGAACTAGCTGAAGCAGTCCTAAAACATGTGTGAGTATGAGAGCTGCAGGGGTTCTGCCCTGCCCATCTTTGTGCCAGTAAAAGGCATCTGAGGGCAGGAGGGGCAGAGAAGAGGGAGAACTCACCATGACTAGAGTAGGCCAAGAACATGTCCTTCAGTGTTTGCCAACATTACTCATGGAGACGTGAATGCAGAAGAGATGCTAGAGTTCACCAAAGGTGAAAAAGGAGTGCCAAAATAAGTCCTCTGGATGTCCTGGACTATCCCTAACAATATCCTTGTTTTGGGATGGAATTGGTGGTAAAGGTTAAAATAACCCTCACCCATTTTTGAATAAAAAAATCACAGGATTTTTTTATTTTGTTTAACTCAAATACTCAGATCATTTCTGTGAAATTGTCTGTAGAGTAGCCCCAGAAAGAGCAGTATCACCATAACCAAGGGGGTAGGGAGCTCTGGCACAGGAAACAAGAATAGGCAGACACGAGTGGGAAGCACTGAAAGGCTGAGCATATCTCAAGTAGTTGTAACTATGTGTTACAACATTCCAGTTAGAGGTTGACATAATTTAGGACAATGCCAGGGAGGTTTTAATTTATCTCCAAAATCACAGGAGTTGTTCTTGTCAGGTGAGAATCATGCAGTTCAGTGCAGGACTTATCTCTCTCTACCACCACCCTTCTTTCCCACACTTTATGAGCATTTCTTCCTCCAAAATTTTTGTGCTCCAGGTTGTCTTCTTCTGAATGTGGGTGGTAAATCCATATTCACAAAACAGCCATCAAGGCTCTTTCATGGTATACAGCATCCAATGAGGAATTCAGAGGAGAAAGACTTTCTCAGTCTATGGAGTCTCACCCTTCAAATTTCAGTTCACAGGAGCCAGAGCTGAAGACATTTCCAAACTAGGTATAGATAAACGTTCATCAGACATTACTGAGCTATAAACTGCACAAGGCAGAGGCTTTCTAGAGAGCTTTTTAACCCTTGTTGCTTTCAGATGAAACAGTTTCCTCAGCTGTTCTGTTTCTGCTGCCCTTGTGAGAATTTCAGTATGCACAAGAACTTGAATATTCATCAGAGCAATACAGCTTGTTTTCAAGCTCAGTAAGGGTTCAGGCTTTATTTAGGAGACAGTTCAACTGAAGGTTTTGATCACTTTGTCATCTCATTTGTAAGACAAAAAATAAGTAAGGATTAATACGCTATTATTTTTATTACCTGTGAAGTTAATGTATAGGTAGATAATAAAGCCAGTGATTTGTTCCACAGCAGTTATAACCATTAGCCTGGTCCTGTAAGTCTTATTTGTGTGAGCTGCCCTTACTCGAAAGGAAAATCCCAATGAAGATAATGAGAGCACTTATGGCAGGAAAGGTTCCCGAGTTGATCCTTAATTAAAGTCCATTTTAAAAATGTCATTGTGGAAATATTGCTCTTACATTCATACTGTAAGTGACATGAAGAGTCAGTGAAGGTTAATTGCTTTGAAATTATATTTGTAGCCTTCTTAATTAGACTCTGAACTGGAGATTT